CGGCTGCTAAGTAAACAAACATGGCGTCTGGCCGGGTCGACTCCGCCGATTCATAGTGATTTCTTGTTCCCAACGTCATATAACAAAGTCATATACGACTTATTTCATGCCAGAATGTAGCAACCTGCGGTACCTGCATCAAAGACCTCTTCATTTCGGTAAATTTCACTTCTGTACGGCGATCGCGTTAAACAAACATTTCGTAGTCGGCAATGTAAACAAACATGGCGACTGGTCGGCTCGCCTCCGCGATCGCCGATCGCCAATTCATAACGATTTCTTGTTCCCGCGGCGATATACACGTTACTTCATGTCAAAATACAGCAATTCAGTATGTTATCTCATCATATCAGGGTGTATTCCGGTAGATTTTAGCCTCCTATATGTGTTTTCCGGTGTTTAACTGTGTTTTCCGGTGTATTCCGGTAAATAGGCAGACCCGTTCTGGACTGAACGCTCTGCCGTTGCGCCACACGCCCAACGAATTGCAATGACTTCGGCCCAAATAGTTACGAGAACATAGAGGACAATGTTTAATTCGACTCACCTCCTTAACGGACGTAGCTCGTCTTAAAAGACGAATTTTAACCACCGAGTTCTTCCCTGTCCAAGCACCGTGACTTGCCATCTTGCTCTGAGCAGCAGCGTGGTCTTACCACCTGATACGGAATCACCATAATTTGCATTTTCTCAATTAGATAATTAAGTTGGGCCATGTTGATTTGATCATATGGATGACATCCAGTGGAAACCCCAAAATTGATGCGAGCGTGCGAATAAAAAAAGTTGCCTTCATTCTGAAATCTAGGTGGTCATGAAGGTTGAAGAAATGACTAAACACACAAAGTAATATTTTATTGGCATGGTGAGTTATAAATAGACTCTTCATTTTCATTCATCCGTTTACAATGTTATGAAACAGTAATAGGCGATGAATGTGTCGCCATTCGGATAAAGCCTCCCAGCCGAGCTCTTGACAAATTAAAGATTATAAAGGACATTTTACGACACCAGACAGACTTGCGTAAGGCTATGCCGCGGAACGGAAGCACTCCGGCGCCGCCTCGGGAGAATATGGCGTTCCTACGCCGCAGGAATTTCAATCTGTACACCTAAACAGAAGCACAAGATAGACACCAACATACCTGGCCCCTTTCGCTTCCACAGAAAAGCTGCCGAATCGACGAATTCTGTCAAAACGAGCTCGTACAGTTCAAATGTACACCTCTGGACCCTCCACCCTAGCCCTGACCTGAATATAAACAAACCTGAACTTTAACCTTTGAGCGAATCCCACATTGGTCTTATTTTATTTCCTGATTACCCAACTAGTACAAATGATGTCCGTCTAACGGTTAGCTGCTTGTTGATTTTGACCAAGCACATAACCGTTAGGCGGACGCAATTTGTACTACATGTAGTTGGGTAATCAGGAGATAAAAAATCACCTGTTTACCACCACATAGCGCTATGTCAGATGTACTGTACAACACATTTGCAGAAGACTTCATTATTATCAAAATACCATTTTTTACGTGCACATCCTTCTTCTCAACAATATAGATAACTTAATAATGCCTCTTAGGACGCCTAATGACGCTTTTTGCGACGTTTATTAGCGCTATTTCACTATATTATATTCTCTTCTGTATATCTCCGCTGGTGACCGTGACACGGTCTTAATTTAGCGCCGCCCAGTGGTGTGCCGCGGTACTGCAGTCCCTGGTATCTCGCGTTGTGAAGGCTAATGCCAGTGCCTGCAGTACTGAAACTCATCACTGGGCGGCGCTAAATTGAGACCGTGTCTGCGTCAAGTGCGTAACGTATGTGATTGCCTCTCAATCAATCGTCAGAAACCGAAGCTTCCTTTCCTCAAAACATGAAAATATCGCAGTAAGGGCACTGTTGTTGCGTTTTTAACCAGTTAGGATAACATGTGTAATTGTGAAGGAAGGAAAGGCTTTGTAAAGGAGAAATCGAAAGGTTTTCCTGTCTACGTAGTTTCACCGACTGGTGGTAAACAGGTGGATTTTCGGTCGTCTTATTTTATCTCCTGATTACCCAACTAGTACAAATTACGTCCGCCTGACGGTTAGATGCTTGGTCAAATCAACAAGCATCTAACCGTCAGGCGGACGTAATTTGTACGAGTTGGGTAATCAGGAGATAAAATAATTAGACGACCGAAAAATCACCTGTTTACCACTAGTCGGCGTACAATGAGTCACTAATATGGTTGCTACGTAGTTTCCCGACTAACAATGTTGAAATTGGGTGGTCTTTTTTTTTATCTCCTGATTATCCAAATAGTACACGTATGTTCGCCAGACGGTCGAGTGCATACTGCTTGTGACGGCAGATTTCAGCGGCTGCAGTACCGAATCACGTCACTGGGCGGCGCTAAATTGAGACCGTGTCACGGTCGATTGTGACGACGGAAGAGGAAGGCTAGTGACTGCAGTACCTCCAACCGTCACTGGGTGGCGCTAAATTTAGACCGTGTGACGGTCGATTGTGACGACCGGAGACGAAGGCTTTTGACTGCAGTACCTTCAACCGTCACTGGGCGGCGCTAAATTAAGACCGTGTCTTGGCCATCTGAACCATGAAAATTCATTTCTTCCTGATTACCCAAATATTAAAAGTTATGTCAGTCAGACGGATAAGCTATATTTTATTTCACCAGTATTACTTTATATTAAAAGCTTGCTATTTACACACACAAACAGACATATACAAGAGAGAGGGAAATACATAAGAGCCATGTTAAGTTTCAGACAATTTATTTCAAACAAGCGTTGCTCATCAGCAATCTTTGGCAAAATTTGTACATGCGTAAATACAAATGATGGGACCGATTGCCTCCAGAACATGGTGATCTAGCAGTGACTACAGACGTTACAGTGCCAACTCTCTATACACATCTGAAAACTGGTCCAGACCACACCAATCTTACAGCTTGGTTCTCACATTTGCCAAATACATTTCTTTCAGATTCCCAAAATACAAGTAATCAATACAGCATGTTAGGTTCTACTATGAAATGAAATATGATATAAAGTTTTGACATGTGCATTACAAAGTTTGTTACACTTCGGTCACACAATCTTTTTTACAATATTCCGAACCAAGTAATAACCTTGGTCTGGCCTTACACTCAAAACTGGAACATGTCTGTGTCTGTGAACAGTAAATGGCTTTGTGGTTTCGCAGTCTCGAATACGATCAATTCACTGACTTGCTCAAAACACAGTTGGAACGCTAAGTTACCATTGAGAACCATAAAACTGGTTACTACAGTAAGGATTTCATGGCACCATTTAACTTCTTTGTCCTGTCAACCACACAACCAATCAACAAAACCTGTACAGAGTCCACAGAACCCTAATTTATACAGTTCTGGCGTGCCAGGTGGCCAAATCTGAAAAGCTCTGGTTGCTTTGGGTCTCATCTTTTGCGAACCAAAATCTAAACTTTGGAACAAAACGATTGAATGAGTTCTGGGGTATGTACAGGCTTGGTTTCTTGTGACAATACATCTGCAGAGCTGGCAAAATCATTGGGTTATGACAATCTCTACTTTGTTAATGTTGAGACAATGATTGGCTCACTATAACTACTGTAGAACACCTACCATCAGTACTTAATCAACTGGTTTTGGTTGTAAGGTACATGTAGTATGCCCATGATTTTGTTCTTCGAAACAATGTTACAAAAAGTTTTCGGAGAAGTTTGGCCAAGTTGCAGTGTTACAAACAGCTGGCATTGATGACATTACTAACTTTTATACAACAGTGTAACAGAACTGATGCTTTGGAGAACCTCCTAGGAAACTGAACGACTTTCATTGTACAACCTTTCACAATATTCAAAATGTACAAGCACACGGGGTAGTTTCATTACATTCTTACATACAAGCAAATATCTTACAACCTTTTTGCGGTATCACAGGGTTTAGCACCTTCAGACATTACAGATGAACAGGCATATACTTTCTGCAAAGTATATATACTTTCTGCAAAATTGTAGGAACAGAATGAAGGCTTTTCCATACAGGAAATGTGCAACAGAAATCTTGATTCTCTGTATCTATGCTGATATAAGCTTGTTTAAGTTACTTTACACAAATGTTGTATGTCTATCCGGGGAGTTGAGTCGATAAGGAAAGGAACAAAATGAACATAACTTAGTAAGAAGTAAGGGCCAACCACCTATTTACCTGACTCCTACTGACAATCTTCAACAAAAAGGGATCTGTCCTTTTCTGATGACTGAAATATCTGGATTTCAAAGATGTATAAACATTTGGGACTTTCATATACCGTAGGTTCTATCATCAACTGATGTGCAAATAATCACAATGAATTGTTGAAGACTTAGGAGCTTGTCTCATGAAAAAAAAAAATCACCAGAAATCAGTTAGTCTACGGTAGGAGTACAGTACAGGTCCCTTTCACCGTTTTTGGAGTTGCCAAATGGCAGCATCAAATGTCGAAACTCCCCACAGATATATACAAACATACACACACATATTCGCATCCGCTCTTTGCTATGTTAAGTGATACTCTTATCACAGAGAAGCTCTCTCGATTACAAAACAAAGATCAAGCCTACGAGATACAACCTAAGATTTTTGCCGAAAACGTGGATAATACAATTTCAACGTCATACAAAAATATTTGATATGAGAACTTGGCTCACCACACAACAACGTAAATACAACTAATGTGATATCATACGAAAAAATTCATTGGCGTCTTATTATACAATGGTTGGATTCATCTACGATGCACAAAAACGTGCATAGGTACATGTTTGAAACATATGCCACCCTCTGAACAGGCTGGGTTTCTCTTCCCAGTCCTGTAGCATTATGCAACCAACCGAAAATCCATTCCTTATGCAAAATATATTCACAACTAAAAAGTACAGCTACTAAAAATACAGGTACAAAAATTTATGTACAGAATTGTGTTGTTTGTCCATCACAACATTATGATACAAATTCGGCACTTCTTGTTTTTTCTTTTTAGACGAACTCAATTTTATCTCTAGGGTGCTGAGGATACGTCTGGATTGTTCAAGTGCTTTTTTCTGGCAGTATAACTGACTTGAGTAGAGGTTGTGTTATGTGTTTAGCATGTCGACATGAGTAATAAGCTGTCTTCAAACAACAATCAGAATCAAATTTCAGACTTCCAAGTATAGTCCTGCTATCGAGAAAGTGGTACAAAAACAATTCCCATCGCTTTCGAGAGAAATCAACTTCAACACTCAATTTCAAGTGCCCACACTTCTGATTTTAAGTGCAAAATTAATGTGCAACGCTTTTTTTTAGACCACCAAGTCTGAATTTGCAAAAGTTGTGCACGAATTCGGTGCAAACTTTTCGACGAACTTAAGCAGACGCCTAGCGTAAGCAAACACAACAGTAAATAATAACGCATGTCCGGCGTGGGTAGCCAAGCAAGGATAACCTTTTTCATCGTTGCAACTTGGTCCATGAGGTATCGGTGTTGACTTGATTGAATCGTACAAAAGATTTTGGCTGCTTGGAGCGGATGAATGGCTGGCGTTAGGCGGCGATGGCCGGACATGTTAGCAGTTGGCGTAGTGGTCGAAGGAGCCGAGATACTCCAGCGCGGCACGATAGCAGAACTGGTACTGGTCCTGGAAGGGGAAAGAAGTTCAAATTTAGTACTGCTGTTGTTAGTGTTAAGTAGCAGAACTCAGCATACATGTACATTGTATCTAATACAATTGTTGAGCAATAAAGTTATTATCATCATAGACAGAACTACAAGTGCCAGAGATATCAACCCAGAATTTAGGCGTTCAAAAGATAATTTTTCCTTAATTATCATAGAGGGACCCAACCTCTGGACCAAGAGGTTGGGAGTTTGAATCCTGTCTGTTGTAGCTCACCCTACATGCACACTACTGTAAAGGGCTACATGCTTAGGATGGGACATGAAGCCATGGTCTAGGCAAAAGAGCTTGGAGAATTTCCCCAGTACAATGAACCTGTAAATACTGTACATAGCATCTGTCTCCTCTGTTACGATCAGTGGCCTAAAACTAGATTAAGATCACTTTTTTCTGTACATTCATGTGTCTGCAGCTTGTACTTACTGTACAAAACTGGAAAACAAACAAATTAGAAAACAAACAAACAAACATGTGCGTACCTCTGTCTGCACCATGGCGGGTCTCTGTGTGCGCAGCATCTTGACGGTCTGGAACATGTCCACCACGCCCTCGTACCTCATCCGGTCCAGAACAATCGCCAGGGTGATGAACACGCCCGTCCGACCCACGCCAGCACTGATGGGAGATGGTAATCATAATGAGTTAACATGTACACACAGTACAGGCATTGTATTTTGTTTCTTCATTTATAATGTTTAAAAGACAGTGTTTCTTAAAACTGAAAAAGACTAAAATGGGCAAAATTGTAATCTCCAAGCAAATCTAATGGTGGCTGCAATACAGTATCAAATTGGCCAGACCAAGGGAGCAAATGGTAAACTTGAGTGGCCAATTTGATCATACCCTACCCTGAATGAATCTGCTTGGAGATTAGCAAAGTTGGCAATCCAAGTGACTTGTAATTATCCTGTTGGATCTGTGCCGTTTTGTTCAATAAAAACACATAATGAGCCCTTCAGATCTTTACATTTTTTCCAAGAACTTAAGATATACAAGCCATGATCCTTGTCCTTCAGCTATCTAGTTCCTTATTGTGGAAATGGTTACATGCACTTTGTTTACCAGTGATTTGACTCAAACATTCATCCATGTCTAACCCATAATATCCAAATGACCCCTGACCTGCAGTGAGCTGTGATTGGCCCCTCCTGTCCGAACTGTTCCTTGGTTTTGTGGACCTGACCAATGAAATCGATGAATCCCTCGCCAGACTTTGGCACGCCCTGCTCCGGCCAATCCGTGAACTGGAACTGGCGGATCGTCCTGGATTGTCCGTCCTGTGGTTAAAAATAGACAAATTCAAGTTCAGATTCACGTCTATGAAGTCAACATTTAGTTACCAATATTTGGTATTATAATATCTGCCTGCATTGCCTGTGTAAAGTGTGCTGAAAATAAATACAAAATGGTTGACAATTGTCAAATACACTGGAACACGAGATCATTTTTATTTATGGAATAAGTATATTACTTACTAATTCATGTACATGTACATCTTTTACTTACACACCAAAATAGATGTCAAAATATGAGGCATTGTGTAGTGGTTGGGACTGGCTATGTGGTGTTGACAAATTGTGTAAGAAGAAGTGGAAAAGGCTGAAATCAGGAGTTAAAGTGTTCTCCAAGAAATAAAATGAAAAAACAGTTGTGTGGCCCAGTGCATAGAATCCCTAAATCATGTGAGTTCACATCCTTGACAAGGTGTAAGAATTTTTGACATCTAGAGTACAATATCAAAGACAACACAACCACCAGTGCAGCAACAACACAGACACAGAACATCACCGTGACAACACAGACACAGAACATCACCATGGCAACATAGAATGTCACCATGACAACACGGAACGTCACCATGACGACACCTGCGAACAAACGTAGGACCCACTCACCACGCTCTGCACAGCGCGAGCCGGGGGAGGGAGGGAGGAGAGAAACAAGAGGGACGATGATAGATGGTTTCGCATGGCAAAGAGTTCTTAGGAATGTTCTTAGAAAAGTTCTTCTGTAAGTATCACTCCCTCTAGGGAGCACAAGCAAGGATCTTAGCATCCTCAAGAAGTTACAGAGCGCACTGAAGTCTTACAGGAAAGATGAGGTGCCTCACCATTGGTTAAAACCTGGCCAATCACAAAGCACCATTGAGAAGACTGAATAGGAGTCACACAGCTTCATCTCGTTCAAATATTTGAGAGCTCACTCTCATTCTTACAATGTTATTACAATGAAAAATTTGAAAGGTATTTCTGTCTGTCAAGTATATATCTACAGACAGTACTTATTACTTGATATGTACAATACATGTATGTTCAGGAGAGAAAGAAAAGAAAAAGTCACAACACTTTGAGAGATGAAAGGCATGCTGTATGCTCCACTGAGGAAATGATGATGATGATGATTATGCAGAGTTTGATTCACACCATTTTAGGCTCTAAAGGATCTAACCAAAGAAAGTGACCTTAGTAACTTGAAAGAAAGAAAACAAAACAATCCATAAACCCATGGTTTTCCTCTGAATCAAAAAGCTGAATCAAAAAGCTTGCAAACAAAGACAGTCTTAGAGACATACTGGAAGTGAATAAATCAAACTCTGCTTGTGACTTCAAAGAACCAATTGCCATGTGTTCAAGACACACAAACTAATACAATCACTAAAACACAGGACAAGTTTCAACATTCAAAGGAAAAACAAGAACACACTGGTCTCTGCATCTTTCCACGTTCCAAGTAACCAGCGTTACCAGAAAGAGAGACAAACAACCACACATTCAAGAAAATGGACACTGGTCTTTTGAAACCTGGATCTTCCAAATTCCAAAAGTAACCTAGCCTGGTTACCAAACCTATTACAGCTCCTGAGTCCTACATCCTCTCCGCAAAAAAGAGGAGAGGGTGTAGGACTCAGGAGCTGTAATAGGTTTGGTGACCAGGCAAAAGTAACCAGTGTTGCAAAGAAAGACCTGCAAACAACACCAGGTCATAGGACAAATTTTAACACATTAAAGACAGTGAATACTGGTCTCTTGAAATCTGGATCATTCCAAGTGACCAGTGTTGTATTTCTTATAAGAAAAGATCGTTAAAAAACACTCACCCTGGCGTCAGTAACCTTAAACTCCCTCAGGATGTACTGCGGCATGTTGTACTCCGCCATGGGGTCCACCACGAAGTACTGGTAGCGAGCGGAGCGCTCCGAGGGCCAGTACTGGTGACACTTTTCCCTGCCCATCTCCCGCAGCTTGGTCAGCATGACGATGATCGTGGAGTTGTGCTCCCAAAGCATCCGCCAGAAATCCTCCGTCGTCTCTGCCAGAGGACCCTGGGTGGCGATGTACGCATTCCTCTGCCGGTAACCCTTATGGGATGGAAGAACAGAAGGGTGTTACCTTCAACAATGCACAAATGCTATGTCTATGAATGAATGAATGAATGGCAAACTAGCAGTCTGTACATACAAATATTTTATGGCAAAATAGGCTTACAAAGTACCTTTGCACCTCACATCTACATGACAACAATATCTATCTGCAAGTGAAAAATTGAGTCTGTACTTTTTGATTTACAGTAGTTACATAAGTAAGGTTGGAATTCTAATGTAGAATGCATGTATCCAAGAAATGTGGAATGAAATTTGGGAACTTACATCAATGAAGCTGGCGTTGATGTAATCCGATCCGTCGCAGCCTCTGATTGGCTGCAGGCACACACGTGTTGATTCATCTGGAAAGTAAAATGCAAAAAAATTTTGATTATCGTTCATTCTAGTTTTATGAGATTACATGTATATCTACTTGTAGATAACAATGATGGCTTTATTCAGCATTAAAATTACATTGCAAATAACCAGCTAGAATGTAAAAGTGTTCAATGAAAGTTCAATACAGAAGAGCAGATATTTGTATGATGGTTAATACTTACATGGCATGATGTTGACTAATCTGTTCTTGAACTTGTTGCAGGGAAGGTTGGCACTGACGAACCTGGAGGTGTGAGCTTTGGTATTGGCCAGCCGCTGGGGGAAGATTAGAAAATGTTTGATCAGACAAAAGTTCAGCTCGAGTTTAATTACATGTGCAACGATAAAAACTACGTTGAGGCTGACCAGTGGATAGGCTGCTAGAAGTTCGATGGAGTCAGGATACATATAGCTTCCTACACCAGGTATACAGTAAATGTATTTATTTGCACCCACTGATCTTCTACCTTTCTGGTAGCTAATACTGAATTCTGGCATTGCGATCTGCTTTGTCACTTTCTTCTCCTAACTACATGATTCTTAAAACAAAATCTCTAAAAGGAAAGACTATCCAAGGACATGCTTTTCTAGAGCTACATGTACTTTGAAATTGAAAAAAAAAGACAAAATCAGAGAAAAATTTACCTTGAATTCCAACTCCATTCCAGTCACCGTCTCTCCGGGTTCAATCTGGGTCAACTTCTGTATATGGGCGTAGAGGTTCCGCGCGGGCACCTCCGTGTTTCCGCTAGAGACGGCCTCGAATATCGCGTCGTGGATGAAGATGTACTGGTCCTGGGTCAAACAAGGAGCAAATTTTAGCATAAACTAGAAGGTAACGTTTGCAAAGCAAATGCATAATGTTTACCTTGGCATATGGTCTCCTCTGTTAATTTTTATTCAAACACATTCATATATATGGTGACAGAAGTCTAAATCACTCGAGATATAAAACTGCAACATGATGTAACCCAACACTAATAACCACGGTGACAGATGTATGGTTCAGGTCATTGACCTTATTTGTTTGGAGAGAAGACGAAGAAGATTTTTATAAAAAAAGGAATAAGGTCTCCAAAATGTAACATTTGATATTTGCTGTGCCCAAGAACCACAGGACAGAGGCAAATGGCGAGCCACCATCAAGCCCCAGCATCAGCGTGCAAGCACGTCTAACCCTCGGTTACGGGGAACAACAGACATCAAAAGTTAAACCAGATACAGAGACAGAGATTTGCATACCTCAGTCTGCACCATGTAGTTCCTCTGGGCGCGCAGCAGCGTGACATGGCCGTACACGTCCACCGTCTTCTCATGCTTGATGCGCTCCAGCATCGCGTCAATCACGATGAAGCACCCGGTTCTGCCAACACCAGCACTGAGGACAACACGGGGAACAGTGTGAATTTATCTGACTACTATTACTACATGTTATGCACCATACGTGTTTGATGTTTCATTGAAAATCCATTAGATTAGGCATATCATTCTAATCTATTCTTCCTGGATTCATTAAAACAGAAACAGTGTCATATATCATATACATGTACATGTGCATCGTCAGTTATACTAAGTGTACATACTGAAAGACTTCAAACGTAGAAAGCTAACAGAGATGATACGATCCATTACAAAACATTTTTCTTACAATTTTCTTCCAAAAAAGTTCACAGCTTAAAGCTAACAACTCTAGCATACAAGTACTTCTGGTTACTTCAAATTCAAAAGACTTTCCAACTTCTTTTTCACCATGCTGGAATTCCTAATAGCCAGCATACGAACCTGCCAAGTGCATAGGATATAGGCACTAGAAAATTGCTGGTTTCATACTACAAGTTAATAGTTTTTAGGCTGAGCCATACCAGCAGTGTACGATCGTGGGCCCAGGCCTTGACTGTAGTCTAACTGTTACTGTAATGTACTATAAGTTACAGTCTAGATGTACATTAAGTTGTAAGCTAAGCCATACCTGCAGTGAACGATCATGGGCCCAGCAGGGTTGCAGGCTTTAACTGTAGTCTAACAGTACTGTAATGTACTGTACTATAAGTCTAGATGTACAGTAAGTTGCAGACTAAGTAATACCTGCAGTGAACAATCATGGGCCCAGCGTCAGGTGGGTTGCAGGCCTTGACTCTCCTGAGGAAGGCCAGGAAGGGGGTGGGGTGTTCAGGAACCCCGTAGGCCCTAACAGTTAACTTACAACAGTCTAGATGTACAGGAAGACTAAGCCATACCTGCAGTGAACGATCATGGGCCCAGCGTCAGGCGGGTTGCAGGCCTTGACCCTCCTGAGGAAGGCGAGGAACGGGGTGGGGTGTTCAGGAACGCCGTGGTCCGGCCAGGCCGTGAACTGGAACTGTCGCACCTCACGCTTCTCACTAGAACCATGCTGCGGGGAGGGAAGGGGGAGTGGGGGGCATGTGTCAGGAAAGGGTTGTATTTTATGTGCTAAAAGTTTACAATAACATCAAATAACTTGCACCTATCACTTACTGAATGTAAGAATGTAAAAAAGAAGCCCCCAAGTCTAGGGTACAGCTAGAACATCTCAATTCATCAATACATTTAACAGGGTTTGAAATACTTCTATGTCTCAGGTTGCCCACCTAAGCAGGCTCACCTATGCCAAAAAATAGGTTTCCTATCAATATTTCAGGTTGCCCCAGTTACTATATCAAACTTGTTTCTTGTTCTTTCCTCACCCGAAATAAGGTACTCTCCAGTTGACATATCTACAATCCTCCTTATCAATACGTAAACATCACTCACAATCTACTAGTAGATGATGGTACACTTTAAAATTTATTCTCTTAAGTTAAAGCACAGAAACTGAAAAACAGAAAACCATGCAGTACTCACCCTGAAGAGGGCGAATGTCCTGACGGTGTAGGTGGCCAGCTCGATGGTGTCCAGCAGGGTGACCTGGACTGACCCGTACGTTTCTGTGCCCCGGGTCGGCCAGTACTGGTCGCACTTCACCTACAGAATGAAGTTACCATGGTTACAACACTGCTGTGAAATGTATTAAAGGCCTCTTCTGTCTGCCGTTTAGTCTGTCTTTTATATTCTGGTGTTTTTGTAATGTAATTCTATTTCAGGCCACAAAAACTTGACTTTGTAGCTGACATCCATCCATTCAGTTTCAGATTTGCATAAAAAATTCTCATAACAAAGCGTGGAAATAGATACAGAACACTTGCAACCAGGAAACAATTATTAAACTGATTAACAAATATATTTTTGTTATTGTGAACAATTAATTTTCATTTGTTTCAACATGTTCATTATCACTTCTTTTTGTCTTTTGCCTCAATACTCTCACATGAAATTTTGCGTCTCCAAAGGATGTCATCCACAAAATTAAGTATTCTTGACCTGATATTTGGTGTCTTTTTATGACATAGACTCACACATGTATGTCCACCTGAAATAAACCATTATTAGAACAAAATGCATGCAAATTGCTACACTGTACTGTACTGATCACAACCATTGAAATCCACAATAGATACTATGTTGCTCAATGCACTAGCTAAATGCTAAATGCTGTATTGAACAATTGACTGTAGCCAGTGCAGTACAGTGCATTAAAGTTAGCAATCTTTGAGCATGCTGCAATAGCTTACACTAAGCAAGCTGTGTTCATATGATGTTGTGAGCAATAAGATGTGTTCTACATGGTGAAAAGTTACATGTGTCTACTTTTTCTTTAAGTGTGAAAAAGTGTTCTTGTGTTTTTTCATACTTTACCAACTTCTGTGCAGAAGAAGTATAAAAGTATACTGCACCTAAGAAGTGCTTGTGAAGATCGACGAAAATAAATAAACGGGAAATGTGACAAAATGAAGTGACACAACAGAAATCGAAAGAAAGGCACCGGAAAATAAAATAAAAGCCAGCAAGGGAAGCATAACTTAAAAATAAAAGGAAAGGAAAAAAAGAACAGAAAAGGTTTCCAAACATACGTGGATGCTTACCCTGGTCCGCTCCTCGAGTTTGGTCATCATCACGACAGTAGCACTGCGCTGTTCCCAGACCATGCGCCAGAAGTCAGGGATGGTCTCGGGAAGAGGGCCCTGGAAAATCGAAGAAAAATTAGGAACACTTGAAATGCAGACAACTTTCCTGTTTTCTAACAAATACTGGAGTGTTATCATGCTACAATGAAGCAACAAGTTGTTAAGTATTTTCTATCAAGCTTTACATATCAAACTTCTAATTACATATTTCCTTCTATCATTCATAAGTACAACTCTTTCCCCTCCTAGCCATTATTTCTGCAACACTCTAGATCTTTATTTCCCCATACAAGAGAGTTTTTCTTTTTCCAAGTAAACAAGTATAGTAATCTTAGGTGCAGATTACAAGAAAAAGTACAGGTAGTGTAGTTCAATTTTTTCTGTATGCATTACATTTGACTTGGATAGGACCAGATCCAAGGTAGACACAAAATCCGATCTAAAACAAATTATACTACCTAATTATACTGTACGTACTGAACAAAAAGACTACGGGAATTTCACAAACCTGTGTGGCGATGTAGGCATTCTGCCTGCGGTAACCGTCCATGTAGTTGGCGTTGAGGTAGTCGCTACCCGGCACGCCGTCGATGTTCTGCAGGATGACCCGCGAGTGGTCGTACGCGATGACGTTAGCGTAACGGTTCTTGGGTTTGTTGACCTCCAGGTTAGAGTTGTCCCATGTGAACTGCTGTCCTGGCTCTATGGACTGGAGGGAAGAATCACATAAATATTGTTAAGTTACAAAGAAGGGTACATTTTTTATACCTTAAATCAACTTGGACTAAATGGAGGGGACAAATACTGTCAAGTTACAGATCGAGCTACATTTTGGACTACATGTATATGGAAGTCACGAAGAGAGTTACATTTTCTTTTTAAAATTCAATTTTTTTTCTTTGAATCTACAAACAACAGCTGTAAAAAAAGGAATCAGGAAACATATATCAGTTCATTTTGAAGATGGCTAACACCTTTTCTTAGTTAACTACTGTAAATTTTGGAACTTTCAAACTGTGGAAAACTATATCAGGAAATCTAACAACAAGTTCAGTTATTCTTATACATTGTTCTTATATATCTTAAAGCAATATCACCACTTCTTCTATCTTTAAGAAGACCTTACCTCATACTCCTGAGAGAACTTGAGATTGTCGTTTGCCTTGAGACGCTCGATATGCTCAGCCAGCTCCAACACCGGGATGGGAGGGTGGCTCATCATGGCTGGAATATAACACAAAATACCATAAGGATTGTCTACAAAATTAGCCGATACATAAAACAATTTACAGTAACGCTTGGTTCCAAAATTTGCCAATGTGTAGTGCAATTTACGGTAAGATTCTGTTCCAAAATTAGCTAGAAAGGATTGGCTTCATAATTAGCCAAAGTGTAACACACTTTGCAGTAAGGATTTGTACCAAATTTATGGTAAGAATTGGTTCCAACATTAGCCAATGTGTAACACAATTTATGGTTAAGATTGGCTTAGGCCATACCTGATTTGTAACAAAACAAAATGCTTTCAACTACACTATATTTCTGAAAAGCATTCCAGAAAGAAGCTACATTCTGAAACCATTTGGGTCTACAATAAAAATACCATACTTTTTATGATCCATCTTTGCATTAAAGTACAGTTGTTTCTTTGTATGCTTTAGTAATTCAGTATCTCCAAAACCCCCTTTCCTACCCCCAATACATGTCAAATCTGGACATCACCCACTTAACCCCGATTTCCCCACACCAGGAAACCTTTGACCTGATGTCAGGACCCCTGGGGCTAAAGGTCGTGACACCTGACCTACCCAGACCACACCTGGAGTTACTAACTAGATGGAGTCAGTAGGGCTTTTGTTTTACATCTCTTTAAATAGTGTACAATCATCCTTCAGTCCATTTGCAGCTAAGTATATAAGGTGCCTCAAAACAGCTAGATGTGTGTAACATTTAACTCTTTAACTAAGTGAGATTTTCTTAATTTGGGAGATAGCCAGCACCAAATACATTTTGCTCAAGAGACATGTACGAATGTCAAGTATAGACAGGATTCTTCATAGTTTAAAAATCTAAAGGTCCAAAATATACAGGTTAGGTTATGCAAGTAGTACCTGTACTCAATTAAGTTACTTTACTAGCTTGTTGTTGGAGCATGAAAATTACAACTCTGCAAAGAGGAACATGGAGCAACCCTGTGTGATTGATTTTCAAAGCCCAGGACCTTCACCTGTCTTCTATTTAACTCTTGTAGGTATAATTTAACCCAGCTTCTTAGGAGTCCTTGTCTCTACCTCCTACAGTGACTAACTGTGAATACCCTTCTTGACAATACCTTCCACTATATGTCTTCTAGTATATGTCTTCTACATGTACCAGAGTACTATAGTTGAGCATAGAGGGAAGATTTTCATTCAAATACACAATACGTAATAATCTATGGTACATGCATATCCAGTCTCTAGTTGTCTATAGTGTATCAAGTAAATGTGGAAGGCTTAAACTATGCTAAATAACTTTCCACAATTTGAAGTTACCATAATTTTACTTGCTTGTTTTCTTTTCAACATAACCAATCCCTATAGCTAAAACCAGAGTGGTACATGTAGTGATGCATCAAAAGTCTATCTCTGCATGTAGAAGGTTGAAGTGTAATATGATACGTACCAGGTGTTTGGTAGTTAAGTCTGCGTAGCTCCACTGGGTCAGTAGGATGGGTCAGGTGCTCAGGTGCTCCTCCTTTAGGTGCCGACTCTGTCTTCTTCCTACAGAACACAGAACAGGACACGGTTAGAGCTTAGATTAGATTAGTTAGAAAGGAAAATTAAAAAAATAACACCAATACCAAGTACATTTTGTAAGAATCACACAAAGAGATGATGTAAGTATGACATAATAATTTTTCCTATAGCACAAACCAAGACGTCAAAATCTTAACTTCACTCTTGACACAAAATACATGTAACTTGTGAGTGAAATGTACTGACAAAAGAAGCTTGCACAACAGACAATTTGTGACACAACAAAGTATACATGATGGATACATGTACATGAAGCACAGAGTACAAGTATTAAAATATTCCAAAATCCTGGCCCAAATACATGTACGTATACATTGTACAGATACTACATCAGGTGAAACAGTAGGAACAGTGCATTTTTCTTTATACAAAACAATTCTAATTCTGAAATTTGAGGAAACTGCAACAAAAAAGTCTGTCATCCCTACAATGGAAACAGTGAAATGAAGTATCATTTGGTAACTTGTCCCCGAAACCATTTTTTTTTAAATTAGTACATGTATAACGATACTTTCTAATTAATCCTGTAACGAGTTGCTGGAGAAGTAAGGACATATTAGTCACCTGTCCTCAACACTGATGTGCAGAAAAAGCAGCAGGAGAAAAAGGAGAGAGAGAAAAGCTCAGAGTTAGTAACATTATCCACACACAGACTACGAACATGCACATGGAACAGAACAATACAGGCAGGGTCCATACATGTCAGGAAGTCAGTCTTTTTCAGACATATTTTGTAAGTAAGATTGGAGCACAAAAATCTAATAGGTTTGCATTCAGCAAGCTCTGAGTATGAGGAAAATGCAGAGAAAACTTTCAGAACTTATTTTTCCAGAAATCTGATTTGCAAAACATTAACAAAGTACAAACTTTACATGATAAAGTGAGCTTTGAAAAGTCTGTTGGAATTTTGAGTAAGTATTCAGAAATGATTGTTTCTAAATTCAAATTCAACATCATAGTGTTTTTTTACACTTTCGCAGGTCTATGATTTAGAATGAAGTGATGGAAAATATATTTTGATGGTTTGGTAGAAATTTTGCACATGTATGGACCCTGTTGCGACAACGCATGCACTTCTCCGTTTTCTTATCATTCCTTCCCGTCTTTTTCACCCACCTTGGCAGCCTCCTGAACGCGAGGGAGCGAAAAATAAAAGGGGAACAAAAAGGGGAAAATCCACTTTGGTTAATGGCAGTTTCTTTGGAGTGGGTGATTGTAGATTTGGGTGTTAGAAGTCAAAGTCAGTTTGGTGAAGAAAAGTAGGGTTTTGTTCATGGTGTGCAATAGGAGAAGCTTTAAAGGGTGCTTTGAGAGAAGTTTTCGAGAAATATCTTTGAAGCTTAAGGTTGCGACAGAAAGTGAAATCTGTGTTGTGAGCGTTCTTTGTCAATTCTAGAAAAGTTATGATGTTTTGCCCCATAGTTTCTTTCTCATGCTCAAATATGATCAGAAACAAATATATGATTTTATACCATTAAAAAGTGCAGCATGGCTTTTGTTTTGATTGAAAATTACAGATTGAATATACTGATAAAAATTTGCTAAAAATCCAAAGGGAGCACCAAAAATGGTGCTCCACATTGTATTGCAAAATGGTGTTCTTGCAATCCCAAAAAAGTCAAAGAGTGGTGAAGTAAGCCAACATTTTGGATTTCTGTGAGAAAGAAAAGTACAAAGGGAAGACAAGGGTGTATAAAGGAGGGAGCTGAAAATGAACCTAGACTTGTTAGTTTGACAGTCGACATGCAACAGTAGAAGGGAGAGGACTACAAACCCTGGTTAGTTTAGCCTCCATAGCATGCCAAAAACCGAGGGTTTTAGGGGTCTTCAGGGTCTTTGGGATCTTTTATGGGCTATTTTCTTATTGCATATAGACAACATAGCCCTTTATAGAACCGGGTTAATCAGAAAACAGCCAAAGACCACCAAACACCCAGTTCTACAAGCCTGCTACGGAGGCTAGGTTAGTTCTGTTACATGAGGAAAAACACTACAAAACAGGAGCTGGTCGAGGTTAGTAGCTTGGACATTTTTAACGAGAAGTTCCACGGATGAAGTTAGTCGTCAAACATACCTTTCCGGCTTCCTGAGGGAAGCAGGGATGGTGGGAGGGAGAACAAAAAGGAAAAATCTGGTTAAATTTGTGGTGAAAAATCGAACAAAATTCGTTCAGTTTTTGTTAGTGTTTTCCATGCATGCGCATGAGCAGGGGTGAGCTAACGCAACCAAGGAGGGGCAGTTTCAAACTCTTACGTGGCAATAAAAAATTGACAAAAAGGCTAAAAAAACTGCATGGCAAGAGGTCATTTTACTTACTGCGAATTAATGCAATTAATAACCTTTCATTTATTAATACTTTCTTACCTGTACCTTTCAAACCTACATGTTTTACAAGTGAGCATTCAGCTGTATTATAGTTAAAAGCTTGAAGCCAAGCATACCAGTGATCAAGCAAATATTTGCAAATTGCTTGCTTAAAAAACTGTTAAGTAAAAAGAATAAAAATACACTTTTTGCCTGCTACAAACGATCTAATTTTTTTTGCTTTCAGTGCTGAACTTTCCACTCTTTACCACACTATATTTACAGAAACTGTTTGAATGCTGTAGCTTTAACATTGTTTAGACATATTCTAAAACTCTTACGAAAGTAGACAAATTTGTGACATTTCTCACCTTCTGTAACAGTACAAATTCACGAAATGTCTCCCATGTCTCAAGTGCATCTAATTTTTTGCTTTCTGCACATAACTTCCCACTCTTACCATATTTCATTTGCAAAAACTGAATTTGAATGCTCTAAGACATATAATTAGACATACTCTAATAATACTGATGCGAAAGAAGAAAACAACTTTGTGACATCTCACCTCCTGTACATGAGGATGACGATGATGATGACAGAGATGACGATGATTGACATCACCGGGGCGACGACCCACAGCACGTTGTTAGGCGTGACCTCCTGCTTGCCAACGCTCGGCGACACCTGCGCGGTCATGGGCTTGGAGTAGTTACTGGACTTGTATAGGCGATCCAACTGAAAGGAAGAAAGAAAGGAATCGTTAGTGCAAAGGCAACATTTCTAAAAACAATATTCTATAGTAGTATCCATGAGTGTATTCCTCATCATCTATGCTATGCAAAATTGTTTCTTCTTGACTTTAGAATGCTTTCAAAAGATAGGGTTCAAGAAGCAGAGGCTGGTTGCCTGAGCAATCCTTCCCTCCATTACACAACTCTTATACATGTTCTTGTAGTATAGTCATTCTGCTCACAACCATGAGGTCCTGAGTTCAAATCCTGCCATGTCTCTAACCTTGTGCCTTTGCGAACGGCACTTAACAAGACTTTCCTCATTTTGCTCAGGTGTTAATGAGTATGCCAGAGTGATCATTATCATGATCGTAGGCATCAAAAGAAAAACCAAAAAGAAAAGCCCAACCTACCCCTGGGTTGGCTGGCTGTGGCCTGGGTGGTATGTATGCTCTCAGGAAAGCCATGTAGTGTTTCCCCATCTCCCAATATACATAACCCTCTCAACAAAACAAAAATACTTGTTTTAGACAATATCTAACCCAACCTACCCCTGGGTTGGCTGGCTGTGGCCGTGGTGGGATGTATGCGCGGAGGAAAGCCATGTAATGTTTCCCTGTCTCTAGTATATACAGTTATTGTGTAGTGACATTGCATTAGAGATATCTTTACTTACTAACTACTGATCGAAATAAACATCCAGTAACCCAACCTACCCCTGGGTTGGCTGGCTGTGGCCGTGGTGGGATGTAAGCTCGCAGGAAGGCCATGTAGTGTTTCCCCGTCTCCAGAGGTTTGTTGTAGAAGCCGTTGACCCTGCTGCCGTCCCCGATGGTAAAGGTGCTGGGGAAGTCTGCTGACTTGTACTTGGCAGCGATGTACGGACGGGCTGGCAACACCTGGGGGAAAAAAACAATTCAGTGTTACAAATCCATGCACTAATAGAGACCATTTCAAGTACTCAAAGGTTTTGTAACTGTTATTTCATATACCATTCATCATCATAAGCGCAAAGACATATAAAACCATTATGAACTGCCAATACTGTCTTAACCACATAGACAGTCTCATTACCCTGGGAAAGGGTTCCAAGTGACCAGGATTCAGGTGAATATTCTGAATATTCAGGGCGTGAATGTAGAACCTAACAGAGTCCAAGGGTTTTATAGGGTCTTGTATTTGTTATTTCAACTAGAATACAGGTTGTTAACCTACATGGACAACCAGTTTTGTTTGATACAACCACTGTATAAATATAGACTCTTCTTGTTTATGGCTGGGGCACATACATGTATAGGGTAGGAAGATACTTAGATACTTTAGTACTTCCACTACCAGTAAACTAGACCCCAGCTATAGTGGCTACGGCTATTGAAATGGAGATGGGTGCTGCCATACGCACCATGAGGTGTGGAAAGGAGTTTTTTCATGTTAACAAAACTTACCGAGTCAGATGAGGCCAGTGCCTGCACAGTTCCCTGCAGCTCTTCATCTGTGTAGTCATCAGGGGCCTTCCTCGGCTTCACGTAGTTCCCATCAGAACCCTTCGTCACTGGGACGACAACAATCACATACGACCTGCAACAACACAGGAGGGAAAATATCATCAGCAAGTCCTCTTTCTACACACATAAAACAACCACAAACTGTTGTTAAAAAGTTACAGTGTGGCTTGAACTACTTGGCTTCCATTTTATGAAATGTGTGACTAATAAGAGTGGGTAAATGGCAAGTTATCCATATATTTTCTTGCACATTTCAAGTTGCAGGTTGGGATTTTGAGCCCTGAAGTAGTATTTGCAAATATTACAGTACTTACTCAATTGGTCCGTTCTCCTCAGAGCTGCGCACGAGGGTCATGGGAAGGGTTGTTTCAGTCGAGTCCTCGGGTTGGAAGCTTGGCGGTCTCACCACACCTGGGACTGGAAACATAATTTAAGTTTTATCCTTTCTTTCACAAGAATACAATAGAGTAGCTTCTAAAGCTAGTGTGTTACGCCAATGGACATTTATACCAGCTATACAGATACTGATACATGTATAACATGTCATGTTCACTATGCATTTGTCAGGCATTGGGTGGCCATGAATGGAAAGGACTGCAATGTTAAGAAAGCTACTAGACACTCTTAAGAAAATGCACTTAGTTTCAGTATTTTCAGTATTCCTGAATATGCTCTTAGACTTCTGAACCTTCTCCAGTACACCTACTACCTCAGTATGCTTTAAGACTTCACATTTGCTTCCAAGCTTTCCCTAGTCACTACTGGTGACTATGTTAGTGAGATTTAGTTCAGAATCTACTCCATTTAAATTACTGGTCACAACAAACTACTACACCTACCATCTCTGAGAGTCTTCTCGAACGTTGTGATGACCGGCCCCTCATTGCCGTTGTTTCGGATCACGCAGATCTCGAAGAAGTATGTTGTGTGTGGCTTCAGGTCAGAGATCTCCTGCTGTTTGGAGTTGACAGACGTCACAATGGTGTTGCTGAAGCCGTACTTCTTCTTCTTCCCCGTCTCATCCAGGAACTCCTTGTCTGCGTAGTACTTGATCTGTGGGGAAAGCAAGAGGGATCATGACATAAAGGTTTTGCATTACAAACATGTAGCTGAAGCATACCAAAATTAATCTTTCGCATATTGCAGTACCTATTCTCTAGTACTTGATCTGTGGGCAAAGCAAGAAGGATCGTGACTTAGAGGTTTAGCATAAGCTAATGAACATACCAAAATTAACCCTTAGCATACTGGAGAAGCTTTTTGGATACTGAGTCTCTTTTGATTAAAGGATTAGGTAGCAGGGTTGACATTGAACACACTGAAGGGGTAAGGCACCAGTGAGCTTAAAAAACTTGATTTCTTGTTCAATTTTTTTTTCAAGCTCAAAGTACTCCAAATAGTTTGCACTTCACACAGTTTACTGGTATAAGTTTTAAATTTGTTATCTTTGGAAGAACAATTCAAAAGTGCTGTGTAGAAGTCATTTGAATTCCTTGCAATTTCCTGGGGCTTGCTACAGGATAACTTGTTTGTTTGTTTGTTTGTTGTTTATTCCTCCCACCTTGTAGCTCTGCACGTTGACTGCGCCGTCGATGGGAGCGTCCCACTGCAGAACCATCCTGTTGGTGCCACTGGTCTTCACCAGGACGTTAGACGGAGCGCCAGGAACTACAGAAGAAAAAGAAATACAAACAAAATTAGTCACTAAATTCTCACTCATTCACTATTGTCAATTGTTCCCTGTCTCCTGAGCGTTAGATGTGCTTGCACGTTGGTGCTGAGGCTTGATGGCAACCTGCCACTTGCCTATTTGCCTCTAGTCTGTGGAGTCATGTTGTGTAAGTTGAGGTGGTCTACATTTATGTACAGTATCACTACCAGTAGACTAGTTCTCTGCTATAGTGACTGTGTGGCTAAAGGGCTATGTCTGAAACAAAGATGTACATTGCGCTATATACCAAAAGGAAAAGAATTTGAGCTAATACACATGTATTTGTTAGCAAAGTCGGTATATTCCCTTTCAGCTAATTCATGTTGACAATAAAAAAGTTCATGCGAATAAAAACAAGAACAGATGGCATACCATTTTGCTGTGTCCTGTGAATCATGGTGTCCGAAGCCGGCCCCACACCTCTAACATACAGAGGGTTGACCTGTATGCTGTACTCTGTCTGCTCCTCCAGGTTACCAATCACTGCCTGCGTCACCAACCCAACATCCTGGGGGAGAAGGTGAGAGAAGTTCTTAATCTCATATCCTTAAACAGTTAAGTAAACCTACATGTAAGTATTAGAAGGAATGTTCATGTACATGTACTTTCTTTGGAGAAAAAAAGTGTAAGATTGGAAGGTAAAGGACAGGCCAGGAAGGATTGTGAAGGGATGTGAAAAATGGAATGAATGATTGAAGAAAAGACTGATAAATGAACAAACAAGAGTGAAAGAATGAATGAATGAAGGTATATGAATCTGAAATAGAAAACATTCACTTTTCAGTGTTTTGATTTAAAAAATTGCGCAGGAAAATTTGAAATGTATGGCAAAAACTGCCCTGTCTAAAAATATGTCACCAAACCTTTTTGAAATGTCAACAAAGCTTTTATAAGAAAATGTCACCAAAGCATTTTTAAGAAAATGTTACCAAAGCATTTTTAAGCAAATATCACCAACATTTTTTGAGAAAATGTCTGATTTTTTTTTTGCAATCCTTCCGGTTCTGTGGTAAATGTTAAGGTGTAGGAGTGAGCTTACTCACGTCCACACATACAACACGCACAGAGGGCTACAGCAGAGGACAGGAGAGACAGATGTGTGAGGTGTCGCGTGAAATGACTCCAAGAAAGGAAGAGCTAATCTTAGTCCAAAGTAAGATGGAATGGGGCTCATCATAAATACCCACTATGTTCTCTCAGGCTTTCCCCAGATCTCGAGATTTTGAGTGGAACAGTGATAAAGAAAAGTACTTCTTGTGGCTCTAGGTGCGACATGAAATGACTCCAAGAAAGGAAGACTTTATCTTAGTGAAGTATTAAGGAATGGGGTTGAGAGGCTCTGCTAAATACCCACTTTCCTCTTTTTAGTTCAAGTGCTTGCTTTCCACAGATTTCAAGATTTCCAATGGAATAAATAAGTGATAAGGAAAAGTAATTTAGTGGCTCCTCCTTTCTCTATTTATGTCTTATCAAAACTTTATCTTATTTACTACTTTGCTACCAAGTAATGGTAACTGATGAGCAGCTATCTGTTGGGGAAAATTGGAAAGAAAATGTGACAGGAAGATACATTGCGGCCTTATATTGTAAGGGGTAGCGATAAAGAAAAGTAATTCTAGTGGCTCCTCCTTTCTTCTCAAACCTACTTTGATACTTGATACTACTTTGCTATCATGTAATACTGATGAGCATTGGGATAAAATGGGAGGAAAATTTGACAGGAAGACACATTACAGTCTTGTATCATAAGTAAATCAAATAGCAATGCCACACTTCCATGACAAGCGTTCTTTTGAAAGTAATTTAGAGGTAAATGTAAATAGTTGTTCTAATGTTTGTATTTTACAATATATGTAAGAGGACTCCAGGAAGAGTAGTGGCTGTACTGTCACTAATTGAAGGTTCCTGATATAAACAAATAAAAACAAATAAACAGTATGCCAACCTTGCTGAGCCAGGGAGAGTCGTCATTGGTGGGGTTTCTGGAGTACTTGATCCGGTACCCGATCAGCCCGTCCAGAGCATTGGCAGGCATCGACCACCAAACCTTGATGGAGGTCGGACTCAGTGTCTCTGCCTGAGGGTTCAGAGGCTTGGCCATCACTGGGGGGAGAAGGAGGGAAGGTTAGAGGATGTGTAATGATCTTGCGACTGACGTGTTTTAAGCCTTGGCAGTCACATTCGTTGTACGAGTTTGGTGCCATTGAATTTTCATAGGTAAGGATCTGAGACAGTCTTTTATTTAACAAGATAGCAGAATTTTGCAGGACACATGGATTGTTCCAAGAATGTCCTCAGTTTTGATCACACAACGAATGTGACTGGACCCTTGTCTTCATCGTTTTTCAACATAGCCTTATTGTAACCAGTGATAACCAAGAGCAACCTTGCTTTAATACTTCGAAGTGCAAGAAGTAACAAAAACAAACTTTTGTTGATAGTTACATAAAGAAAAAAGTGCATCAATTTATGGCTGATACAAAATATACAAAAGTTTTAAATAAATCTTTACTGTGAGAAACTACATTTTAAAAAAAGAAAAAGAAAAAATGTGAGGAAAACATATAATTTACCAACAGCAGAAACTTGAAAACTACTCGTCAGGTTAGTGTTATAAACTGTCAAAAGACTGGGGTAAGATACAGTACCAATCAGCTATGCATAAGAATGCTCTTGCCATGCATTCACAACACAATTCACAAGCATTTGCAATGACTTTGTCAGTATACCAGCCAAAAGCATAGTCAATGTATGACACATGATTGTAAATGTTGTAAATGAACAAAATATTACTGTATACAGCAAGCTGATTGGTACTGTAACGTCCCCAAAAGAGAAGCATTTAGAGAACATTTTTGACAGTTTTCAGAGGCACAGTTTTTACATACTCTCTTCTTCTTGTTTCGGGTTGGGAACTGTTTGACTGGGTGTTGTCGGATCTGGAAAAAAAGTGGCACAAAAAAACAACACATCACGCTAGTTGCTTACGCTAACTGAAACCTTCTGATAATTTTTAGTCTTACTGTTATCCCCTCTCAACTATTTCCTTCCCAGATTTACCAAATTAAATTAAATCAAACTAAATTACAAACATCACAGAAATTAAATACATTGACTCACAAAGTAAAATGTAAACATGTACACATACATGCATGTAATCATTACAAATTATCCACTTCAAATCAAATCTTTGCAAAAATTAGACAGAACTACAAATAACTTGGTTAAAGAACTGTTGTTAAGTAAGTAGAACATAATCTGACAAGGAAAGCAAAAGACAATAAAAGTGAAATAAAAGTTTTAAAGAAGACAGTAATGTCAACAGAATGAAGGAATGAAGGAAGGAAAGAATGGTCTGGGGAGGAAACGTGAGGATGCAGTAAGATTAGAAGTCTTTTTTTTTCCTGTTAGGATTGTAAGCTGATGATTCTTTCTCTCTTTTCAGGAAGAGTAGGGCGTAAGCTGGACGGTGACTCACTTGCATACGATGTACCCTGCTGTACCAACGAGCTCCATGGCCCAGGGCCGACGCTCGTGTGCGCACGGACGCGGAACACGTACTGCGTGCTTGGCCGCAGGTTCTTGTACGTGATTTCCTGCAGTGTTGTGATGTTGGTGATCTCCGGTCCGTTGTTGGACTTGTCGTTGTAGCGTACACTGTACTGCGTGATCCTGCCGTTACGCAACTGGAGCGTAGGGGCGTCCCAGGCCAGTTTGATGGTCCTGGCGTCCACCGCGGTGGAGGTGATGTTTTCGGGAGGTCCGTCGGGACGGTCCTCTGGGGTCTCAAACTGCTGGATGTTCTCTTCTCCGAACCCGGCCCCGTTCTTGGCCGAAACACGGAACTCGTACAGGGTTCCCTTAGCTGCGGGAAACAATATGGAGGAGAAACTGTCTGAGAATCTTTCAGATGTTATTTTCAAGATTCAGTTATGTCGAGTTCTTTAGGAATAGGGCTGGCCTTCAGTAGGAGAAATAAATGATACATATGAAACTATTAAAGGAAGACATTTTAAAACTGTTTTCTACTGCCCCAAAATGTAATTTCCTGATGCTAGTATAAGCATGAAACCTTCCTTTGTTTAGTTTTGGAAAGAAACACATTTGTACAGCAAACATTAAACAATTTTTTTTCAATACTGGAAAGGCTCATATACCATCTTTCCCATCACTTCCTGACCAAAGACAGAACAGAAAGCAAAAAGACAAAATGAAAGACCAAACACATTGTAAAGCCAACTTACCCAGACCAGTGAAGACATAGTAGTCAGTGGACGCTGAGAACTGCATGATACGCAGGTCCTCTCCCTTGCGACCGTAGCGCACGCGGTACCCGCGGACCTGTCCGAACGTCCTGGTTGGCGTGGTCCACTCGACCTGAACACCATCCCGTGTGCGAGTTAGCTCCACTGGCGGCTTGTTCGGCACTGCAAGGAAAAAAAAGATTAGATTAGATTAGATCAATGTACGTTAGCTTGTATCAGCCAGTTTATTTTTCTCTCTATTTTCTGCATTTCCTGATTGAAACTTCTTACATTGTTGCATAGAAACATTGGCTTAGTGCACAAGTTCAGATGGTTTCAAAAAAGTGAGTTCAATCAGTCGAAAATAAAAAAATAAATAAAAAGCCCCTGTAACTTAATGCATTGGCATTCACAGAGAACATTAGTACAGGCCATACATGTACCTACACACAGAACAATACTAGATACTGAACTGATTAAAAAGAGAGAATCCAGCATTGCTTGTTTTGCAGCTACACATAAAATGCAACTTCAAAACAAGCAGCTTCGTACAAATCATTCTGGGTTACAACTCCTGAATCCACATGCCCACAACACATAAGGTCATTCCCACTATGCCAGTTCTACACTGCCATTTCTTCATTCTTTTGCAAATAAAGCCAAGGCAGTTTCAGGATCAGTTGAGGAGGGAAAACATGTCAGAATCACACCAGGGTCATATCACAAACCTCGATCCCTTTTTTTGGGTTTCGGTTTTTTCTTGGTAGGCTCAACCCTTTCGTCTGGAAAGAAAATACATTTAACACCAACATAACCTGTCTAAAATACTTTGAAAAGAGGGTGTCTAGAGAGTTGGAAATCTAGCTATCTATCTGTAGGAAAATGAGAACTGAAAAAAAAAACAATTTAGAAATCTTACAAAAAATTAGGTCCAAAAATGCACAGACATCACAGTGAAATCCAAAGACTATCAGTATGATGAAACCAATGGAGTAAAAAAAGACTTCATTTCTTTTTGTAGACACATGAATAGATTGTCCAAAAAAGTCTTACCATTCCCAAGAGTGCTAACTTCCTTAGGTTTGCTGCGTTGTCCATCCCCCTTCAGTGTATACGCTGCAACCTGCACTGAGTACTTTGTGTCGGGCTCCAAAGCTCCGATAGCCATTTCCTACAGACAGAAAAACCAGCAAGAACATCAGCCTCTGGTTGGGAGACCCTCACTTGATCAGAACCTCGAAGGAGGGTGGATGACTTCTCAAGAAGTCTTCGAGACATTCAACACTTAAGTCTGTCCCTTGTGGCACACTTAAGATTCACACCTGCCAAAGGGTTGTTGCCTAAAGTTATAGAGTGTATTCAATCATGCAATCCTAATTTTGCAATAAATTAAACTATAAGTTGTCAAGGTAATGTACACTGTCTGCCATATTGGTATCAATTTGCATTTCAGTGAATTGTAGCTCAAGATTATACTGTGTTCTTGTCTTTTACTGACAAGCGTTTAAACATCTTTGGCTTCCCTTTTTTTATCTCTTAACATTGTTCAAGAAATGCTACCTGGGTATGTAGGCTTGAGCTACGATTGACTCAAATGCAAATAATAGGATAACAATGTGGCAGCAGCCATCATATGAATACACTCTATAACAGGTTAACTACATGTACTAATTCCTAAAACATATGCCACAGGTTGGGCTCAGCGAATCCACCTCTCTGTTGTCTTAAAACACAAAACACAACAAATTTTCTTCCAATATGTTACAGACAAGTTCATTAGGTACAGTTCTAATCTTAACGGTTATATCATCATCATCAGTCATTCTATACCACCCAGAGAAGGTAGATGGTTTCTATGGTTGGAGTGAGAGATAGAGAGAGAAAGAGAAAAAGGAATATGAGTTGTTGAGTCTGTATCTTTTTTTTTTGTCCATTCCGTATCCAGCTAAGGTCAACGTGCAAACACTGAGAGGGGGCCTGGCATCCAGAATCCTTCGTATGGGAGAACTATGGAAAGTCAAAGCTACCCCCATTCACCGCCCCCCTCCCCACTCTGCACTGCCTAAAGTTGTCAAATATAATTCCATTTCTAAAAAAGTTTTGCTAGGAAAAAATGGCAGCAAAAGTGTGCAAATGCCTTGAAAAATAACAAAAAGGCTTTTCTTTCAAAAATCACATTTCTTTCTACTAAAAATCATTTACCATGCAAATTTGATATTTTCCTATATTCCCAAATCATGCTACTTTTCAGGACAAATGTTGAAAACTTCAACCTTGTCAAATACGACTAAAACAGATATTTCACTGCTGTTAAGGAAGTGCAGGTTGAGGAGGTTGTTAAGAGGGTAGAATGCAGTAGTCGGACAGACCCATGCTAGTAGCTCTGACTCCCAATAGTTCTGCGATCGTGGTCGATTACTGGATGCTCGCATGCACACAGAGAGCGCGTGGTGTTGCGATGGCTTATGGTTTGTCGCGTGAAAAATCGCCATGGTTTTTGAGAGGTGTACGTGACGACGCCATGGTCTTCACGTGGTATCACCATGGTTCTGCCCTGACATCGCCATGGCTTTGCTCACTGACATTGCCATGGTTTTTTCCTTCCCTCCGGGGCCGTGCGTGGACTTCTGCATGCCATGGTTTCTCCTGATCCATGGTTTTGTCATGACATTGCCATGGTTTTGCCCTGACATGACCATGGTTTTGACGTGATACCTCCATGACTTTAATAGGACTCGTGGAATGCGGTGGCGAAAATGATGCGAGAAGAGCCGAAAGAGGGTCTAAAAGGCGAAAGAGGAGCCACCAGTAATGTACTTACTGTTATTTCCTAGTATTGAGAATTGTTCACAAGATTGTTGGCAAAGATTGCAAAGTAGGGAAGAAAGCGTTAGTTTGATACAAGTCCAGAATAGACTGCTTGAGAGAGAAGTAAGAGAGTAAGCGGAAGGGGATCGATCGAGGAACCACCTCTCAAGTCAAGACATTATTAACAATCAGTGGAGCAGTAGAGGGGAACTGGGGTTGAAAAGAAGCAAGTACGGAGTCAGTACGAAGGCATTCCGCATGCGAGGGTTCACAGGTGGTTCACACCTATAGACAAACCTTTTTTCTTTGTCAAACTATTATTATAAGTAAAGCATTAGGATCAGATCCTGGCTACATCCTACAAGGGAAAGAGTATATAAAGGCATCACCATGCACTTTCAATCCAAGACATGCTACAACAAATACACTTCATACCTACGAACTACACAATGCCACAACATCAAGTTATCCTTCCAATCCCGAAACTTCATTGTGTTTTATATTTTTCTTTCTACAGCCATTGTCTAGGTCTGTAGAATGGTGTTGTTTTCTCAGCAACTTCAACAGGGTTTGTAAGACCATGCAGTTCTATTGACAGCAGTTAAACGACAGGAACTGTACTTCTGACCACCGGTCTCCCCAGGTTGGGTAGCAACGATGAAAAGAAATTAGAAATTACAGTTTGGTTTCTTTAACAGTTCAAAGAGCAGTACTCTTATGATTGTGTGAAAAAAAGAAAATTTGCCAATCAGGAATAAAATATTATGTCAAAATGTAGCATGCCCAAAATGAACTTGATTGAAAAGTGCTTTGCACAACTGGTTTGCAGGCAAAATTTTGATCCATAATTTCTCATTTCTGCACACATTGGGGAGACCGTTGATCTGTATACACAAAGATGCTAACACTGCTTCAAGTCTCTTGGAGACACCTGTACTGGATGGATCCTCAGATCCCATCCATCCCCACTGTTTAAGTGTTTTCAAGCTCCTAAAAAACGAACCTCAGTCTCTGGATTCATGACGTCCTTCATCATCGGAAACCCGACAGGCTCTCCGCTGGGAGCAAGCCGCTGGTAGTGGATCTGGTAGCCGCGTACGTTCCCGTTTGCGAGCTCCGGTCGCGGCGGACGCCACGTCACCATGATGAAGGTGGAGTTGATTGGTTCGGCGTTGACGCGTCGCGGGGGACCTGGAACTGTGGGGTCGAAAAATGGCCAACAGATCAGTCTTCACTCGTTTGACATAAACAGCCCTCATAATGGTCATTATTTTAGGCTGTCTACATCTAGATATTTTGTAACGTCTTACCTGAGTTTTGAGATGACCTTCACAACTTAAGATCAAGATGTAAAAATTGGGTTGACAAACATTGGGGAAAGTTGCGAAATGAACAAAAAATTTGCTGACAAATAAGTACCTCAAAATTGTACAAATCAATATTTTCGCTTTGTTGTAATTTTGATTGAATCTATTTCCACCATGTTTAAAAAGCTTGTTTCCAGAACGATGTTCAATGCAACATTGTAATGTAACATACCAGTTCTTTTCAACGATCAAGTTTTTACGGAAAATAATACAATATTGACAAAAAGACTTACATACAAAATTACATGTCAGTAAACAGAAAGTGGTTAGCAAAAGTTCTGAGTTCAGAAAATGGTTAGTTTGTCTCTTCAGCAGAAAAAGTTAGGGGCAAGTTATTAGAAATCCCTAAACATGTTACAAAAAGACACAGAACAGACACTGTTATGTTAGATCAGACACATATTATTAGTCGGGAAATCCGTTTTCGTTATTAACAGTCTAAGAGTTTAATAAACCACTAGCCGAGCACAAGGAACAGTAACGTCACACTTGTCCACAAAAACAGCCACTACAAGGGAGCACCACAGCATGTATAGCACCTAGCGTTAAAGCACCAGACTGCCGCCAAGTAGGAGATAGTAGTGGAAGAGTGTGTTGTGCTAGTATCGAAACGGAAACCCGCACATACCATCTTCGTCAGTTCGCACGATGAGTGCATCGCTTCTGGGCCCGTCGCCTACTACCGTACAAGCGAGGACCCAGATTTCGTATTCCGTCCACTTCTTTAGCCCCGGAATGGTACAGGATTGCTCCGTAGGGGGCAGATCCACGATGGTATCGCTCCCTTGTCCGTCTTTCTCTTTGTAGGCTACTTTGTAGCCCGTGAGCACCCCGTTCTGTTGATCCACGGGCGGGGGCTCCCAGCGGACTTGGATAGTCTCTGAGTCCAGGGCAGTGCCAGTTACTTCGCGGGGAGGGGCACCAGGAACTAAAAGGGAGGGCACAAGACACAAAAGAAAAACATACCAAAATCAAAACTCAGCAGCCATGCAAGAACTTGAGACAACTGAAATGGGTTGGAATGAGCCATGCAGGTGACTTTCGTTTCTCTCTTTTTTTTCTTCTCTTTTTTTTTCGCTAAAACAACAACCTCCAGACAAACGGAAGGACTAGAGTGGAGGGTGCAAATGTACGCAAATGAAATGCGAGAAATGTATGTATGCTGATATATATATATATATTATACATACATATCTAGAATGCACCAGATATGAGGATGCACGTATGCTGCTTGAGGGTGTTAGGACCAAGCAGTGCTGCTGGCTGGCGAAACACGACAAAGTGCAATGTATGAGCGTTTGGTGCTGAAAAATCGCCAAGTGCACAGACAAGTGCTGAATATTGGAATGGTCAGAAATGATAAATAAGAAACCGTATACATTTTTCATCTTTTTTTTTCACACATACTATTTGTAATGCGGACTTCGTTTGAGTCCAGCTTGGTCGGAAACGAACATGCAGGTTTACAAGTTGATAACGTTGTCAAAACGTGCATTTTTTTTCAGGGGTTACATGCCGTGCTAGGGGGAATCGTTCTGGCATGCAGGCCTGTGCTACATACAGAACCAAATATAGTCTTCACAGCATACTCAAGGGGGGGACAGAGAGAGAGAGATAGAGAGAGGTACACTAGGAGAAGAAACCTTGAACTAAAAGCTTTCGGGGGCGGGGGGCGCATACAGGAAAGGAAAATGCAGGTTTTCTGGAAAGGAGGGGTCTTTATTATCGCACTTTACTAGCATCTCTTGAGCTTGATTGAATCAATTACAGCATTGCAAGACTTTTGGATGGAGCAGCTTGCATTTTCTTGGCTTAATTTCTCAAAACTTTGGCGGCATATCATTGGGGCACGCTCACTTAACAGGCCATACATGTTAACCTTCCTTTACACACTGCCATGTCAGGGGCACAGGACGTTTTGAGTTGCAGATTCCTCTCTTTTTGGATCTTTACGAGGGCAGCTTGGTCGTAAGAGTGTCGTAAAAAACAACACCACACACGGAATTAAAGCGTGCAAAACAAAAACGACACTGGCTAGTTCATCAGCACATTCAAATCCCTTGTATGTGGCGGGCATGGCCTACCCTAGACCGGGACAGACGAACGAACGAACGAACGAACGTACGTACGAACATGCCACTACAGAGATCAAACGGCGTACACATGGCACATGTACATGTTCATGGGTGTGATGCGCATGAAATGCGTGGCTTGGCTGAGGCACTGTTGAAGTCTGAAGGCCTGAAATGAACTCTGACGGATGCTACCAGAGAAATGTCGATGTACGGTTGGTTCGACTGACGTAGTGGCAGCAATGGTGGCATACACGTGAGAATCACATACTCCCAGACTATTCTACACTTGGCTCTCTGTTACTGCTACTGTCTTTGACTTACGTACAGGGCAGAAATTGTTTGAAAATGCTTACTGTTCTATCCTTAACATAACATTTTACTGTAGACTTGGTTCTCTTTCTTATATCTCCAACTGGTAACTCTTACATTCTTTAACATGATCTGTGGATTGAAAACACTTTATATACATGTTTAAAATACATATCACAACTTCTGCCCTTCTTGTTGTTTCCTTATTATCACAATCTACTTAAAAACACTTCACGACTTTCTTCTGGAAAAATAGCTGTAAGAAATCTTAAACTGCTTGAGTGTATACAGAATTTTCCACATTTTTGATACATAAATAATATCAGATAATTCTTTAGATTTTACACATTCTTTAATGCATCATCCTCACCTTTAGGTTCATCACATTACTCATAAGCTCCTTAAAAGACAAGCTTTGAGGAAAGAAGACAGAGGAAAAAAAGACAAGAAAAGCGTTAGCGGCCCTGGCACATACCTGTCTGGGCGGTAGAGCAAATGATAGTTTGGGTGAACGCTCCAACGCCGCGCGAAGACCGGGCCGCCAGACGCAGGCGGTAGCGGGTGTTGGGCTTGAGGTTCTGCAGCTCGAATGACTCGGTTGGCCGGATGCTGATGTGGGTCTCGTTGTTGGTGAGGCTGCTGTTGTAGTACAGCTCGTAACTGTCGACGGTGGACTCCTCCAACTGCGCGGCGTTCCACGTCAGCTGGATGCTCGACTCCGACTGGCCCTGGCAGCCGAAGGCCGTAGGCTGGCTAGGAACTAAAAAAGACAGAGGAGATGTACAATGTAAACATAGCAGTATGTAGCTCGTATGCTTGAGAAATATTCACTATTGCATGTTAGGCCTGTGTCAGTGATCCACGTGTTGGCTGGCTAGGAAGTAAAAAGGAGAGAAAAAATGTAAAGCTAAAATTGTATGGCTGTTGTCCTTGGTACTGAAAACATAACTGCTGTTCTTATAGCAGAAATTGTGCCATTTTCAGACTCCTTTTGCCTCTTTCCTATCAGCTTTAAAGCATAGGCCAAAGAGCTGCATTCTAATGGAAAACATTGTCATTATAGGGGTGGGGGAAAAGCCCAGTACCTCCTTGTTCTGTCTTGACTTGTATGGGTGGCGACAAGGGTCCCCTGCCAACGGAGGTGTACGCTTGCACACGGATGTTGTAGGTGGTTTTAGTGATCAGATCACTAATGGTGGTGAGCAGCCCACTGTGCATGCGATGCTTGGCCCAGTCTGCGATGTCCAGTTTGGGGTTGGTGGTGTAGTAGATGATGTAGCCCTGGATCTTGCCGTTGGGCTGCTCGGGTTCGCGCCACTGGATCAGCATCGTACTGGAGCTGATGGGTCGGGCGGTCACGTCAACGGGAGGGGAGGATGGCGCTGAAATAAACAAACAAACAAACAATTACTACAAGCTTGAGAATACTCAAAGCATTTGCCCACCTGTTCTGATGATTTATTCCTCAAACTAATCAATTTACAGAGGCTAAATGACACAAGTACAGGAAACTCAGCTGATAGAAGTAAAAACTCAATATAATCTATAACCTAAGACTGAAATAGGCCATTTATTCTTGGAGAGAGCTTTTCTTGGTAGAGAAACTCCACTAGTGCTTTTTGTGACAGAAAAACTCCACTGCACATCCCTGAAAAGGGTTATTTCCTAAACAGAAGGCTTACAAACTTTATGTCCAAGAAATTTAGAGGAGGACTTTTTAAATCTTAAACAGACCATCCTTGAAGTTGGATCATCTCAGCATGCTCAGCAAGAAAACAAGAACATACAACATCTTTGAGGGTTACAAAGTAAGATAGTTACCAGCTTCAATCGGTCCTTGCGCACAAAGCAAGCTCCAACATTTAACTATGAGCCAGATATCCCACGAAAGAGCATTTTGGAAAAAATAGAACATATGTTGCAACAAACTGTAAAGAAAAAATTCTTTTTTCTTACTTATAAGAAAAGAAATGTACATGTTCCAATAAACTCATATGGAAAAATACTTCAATATCGTTTGGGAAAATATACGAAATGCACAAAAACTGAATTCTGTAATAAATAAGACTGTATGACTATGAGTATTCTATACATATAAGAATTCAGCATGCAGATACATGTAAGTGCAAAATAAGGTACCAATACAGAAATCACGAATATGAAAAGTGCTGTGCCTGGCGGTGCAAAAACAAGCCATACCCCTCTTACGTTTATAGTCGGTAGTATGGCGCAATTTCCGCAAAGTGTGTTGCAAGGAACCTAAAACGTAGTCAGCACAAACCATTTAAAGCATCAAGCATTACACTACAAGTTATGTTGTTTTTTTACTACTTTTTTCTACTACTCAAATGCTCTTCTATCTACTCCATGTGCTTTTCTATTTACAACAGAAAAGGGCATTTTCTTGTCTGTTACTGAAATCTATTTTGTGTCTTTTCTCCAAACTTGCACTTTGACCAGATTTTGCTGCTTGCCATGGTCATATCCTTGTTTTCTTTGACCTTCAAAACTTGTATGTCCTTGTCAACTTCAGCTTGACATTCCCCTCAAGGCTAGAACACAGTGTTGCAAGAAGCCAACTTGAAAACTCGAGAAATCATCCCGAGAAAAACCACTGCACACAAACACTGACTGCTAAAGTCTTCCACAACTTCACGACAACACAAACTTTCATCCAGAACTAGCTCACAAAAGATCAATGTTCTAATACCTGAAATATTTCCATACCTAGAACTTTTAAGTTTAAACCAACATGTTACTAACTCACAAAGCTTCAGTGTGCTAATATCTCAAACTACTAAGTAAATTTCCATAGCCGCAGGACTCTTAACTATTGTGTTACAACACAGTTAACTCTAAACTGTTCCATTACTCCAAATGTAACCCACCTCTCTCCCCAGTTGTAGCCTGTCGTGGCTCACTCGGTGCTCCCTGGCCAATGTTGTTCACAGCTGACACTCGAAACTCGTACTCCGTGTAAGGCTGGAGGCTCTGAACAGTGTAGCGTCGGGATGTGACATCCCTCGCCTCTTCGTAATCCACCGTGGATGCGAACACCTTCCACTGAACAACGTAGGACAGCATGGGTTCCCTGTTCTCGCCGTCTGTCCACTCCAAAGTCACGGAGCTGTCCGTCTTTTGCTTCACAGTTGGCTGGTCCGGGGGTTTGGGCAGCGCTACAGAAAAATGGTTGTGTTAGAAATTACCTGCATAGTGTTCTGCAGAGTTACCATACTCTTTTCTTCGTCTGAATTTTTGGATAAAAAATACTGAAGAAAACACTTTTGTCTTATTCCACATGCGTAACACTGGGCAATGGGGATACTACGCGGTTTGTGAATATCTGCTACAGTATATGATGAAGTTATGTGCTTTCAAGAAAATAAAAGTTGTGCCTGTGAGTTGGCTCTTAGCCTGTCGTAAACCAAAATAAAAAGACAGTGCACTAGAAAAGGCTTGGGATAGAGGTGAACTGATGCCACACCAATTTTATCAGTCCATTCTTGGGCAAAAAATAAAGTGCTGAACAGGAGGATTGACATGAAAACAGAGTCTAAGCAGTAAGTCTGTGCCAAAGTACACACAGTTTTGGGGAATAAAGCCATAGCAAGATTCAAATTTTCTTCTTAAGATCTCTGTTTTCATGTTGCCCTCCTGCTTTGATTTCACTTTAAGAAGTCTATGAACCAAGGCAAGAAACTGGAGTAGCCTGAAATGTGTTGTCCGTACAGTATGAAAGCACAAGGCTTGAGCAGCGTATCCCCTCCATTTTTTTCTTGGGGATGTCGAGAGCAATGATCAGTAGGAGTGAGAGGAGAGAAGCCAGCAGTCTCGTAGTCATGCTGGAAGCATGCAGGCAGAAGACATAGCGAGAGACGCTCATGCAAGAAGGGAAGACGCAAGATACACTGAAGAGAGGGGGGCAAGTGTAGATTGGGCCAGATTCTGGGAATGACAATTTTGTCTGGCAATTTGGTAGATTGTAAGTTTCTCAAGCCGTTGTTTGTGGGGCCAATGAAATTCAACATCAAGTTTGTCCAAATGTTGAAATGAAAAAATTTAGGGCCCATTTTTGTGAGTGGAGTCAGTTTTGTACATGTATGTTAGACATTTAACACTAAAAATCTCATTTTAGAAGAAGTCTTGAGCTTAAAACAGCTTTCTTTTCTAGTGAATTTCTTTTAAAACAATGATGATGTCCTTGAGGGACATCTTACATCTTTCAAGACGTCTACACTTGCCACAAGTCGAGAGAAAGGAGGATAGATTAGAGGCTGAAGAGTGCAACTGATTAACTTACCCATACCAGAGTAGGTAATTCCTTAGTTAGAGAGGTAGAGACAGAGAGACAGCCAAAATTGTTACTTTTTACATTTAACCTTACTCTTTACAACTTACAACAGGTAGAAGGAAAATAGACAGTGAGGAAGATAAGATAAGATGGAGAGAGCAAGTTCTTAAAAAGCACAAGCAGTAAAGAGAAGACGGAGGAAGCGGAGAGAGAGAGACTAACTACATAGCATTAGTGCACAGCAAGACGTGGTCAAAGGTCAAAGGACAATGAACCCTCTTGACCCCTGGTATTTTTTTAACACACAACGAAGACTAACCACACAAAGTGGGTTGGTTTCACTACGGAATGAAAATGTCATTAAAACATCACGCACGTTTTATTGACTATGAAATAAACAGACTACAACAGTTTATACACACAATACGTGTCAACAACAGGAGTTTGAATACAATTTTAGTACTTATAACTGTGAAGACTACCTGGGTTTTTGTTTACTAGAAAACAAACACGGCAAGAAACAAACAAATAAACAAACAGCTACCCAGGGATCAAAAGTAACAGCGACTACAGCGAGTTATTCGCTCATGGAACATTCAGACGAGACCACCTACCCTTCACCATGACCTGAGCGTTGTGTTCAATCACTCCCAGGATGCTCATCGCAACACAGGTATAGTTCGCCGACTCTCGCACGTTCAGAAGCTGGAGCACGTTCCGTCCGATCGGCATGTCGTCTTCGTCGGTTAGGTCCTCCGCTCCTTTGCGCCATTTGACAAAAGGCATCGGAGCGCCGACGGCGACGCAAGTAACGTTGACGTTACCGCCCGGCATCACCTCTACATCTTCGGGTGTGATGGAGAAACGTGGTGGAACTCGGCGCACTGGAGAGGGTTGGGAACACACAAGTTAGAAAAGATCTCGTTAAGATATCATGTTCTAGAAATACAATCAGTGGTTACAAATACAATAGATAGAACAAAACATGCTATTCAAGAGTACTTATATGAAGTTACGATGTAAGACTTTCTATAGTGTCTAGCTGCTAAAAAAATAAACAGCTATCCTAGACCACGTAAACTTGTCTATAACTGTTACAACACTTAGAAGCAAAACGTTTAATACTGACATTACAAGAAAGCGAGATTTATTACAATTAGAGTTAACAATTAAGAATATAAAATACTGTACAGACAACAGACAAAACATTAAAGTAGCTAGCTTGTTTGTAGCACGTAGGAAAAATAAAAACTTTTAAAGATTTCTATAAGATACGTCTAGGAAAATTATTCGTCTAATTCTCATCTGCAACTTGATATCGTTCTAACGTTACCAGGTGCAAAAACTGTGCATATAAAAATGGTACGATGTGACCGTAAATATGAAAATGAGTGAGTGAGCGACAGCTATCCCACAATGCAAGACAGCTATCCCACAATTCACGGCACAAGAAGCACCATACAGCGAGAGGTAAATACAAACTGTGGCCAGGAACCTCTGCAGGAAAACAGGTCAAAACTGTTAACATTTTCCGGACCATTCCAAGCCACATTTTGTAGCTACCCTGCCCCAAAATCGAACGGAAAACCGAACAACCGAAAAAAATGTAAACGGGATGTAAAAAATGACTGACATTCACTGCAGGGCTCGAAATAATTTCATTGCATACCTGCACTACTGTAGTGGTACAGGTAACGCATCAAATTACCTGCACCAAACAATTCATAGTCATACCTTCTCTGCTAGGCTGGAAAGAGAGATTTTAGAAACCATGGAGCAAACTGATAACCGTTTCAAACCATTTCCCTTCTGTATGAACCATTTCATAGCTGGTAATACCAACCAGTGCAGTAAATAGAAAACCACACACTTATATACCTTAAGACCAGCGCACAAGAGAAATACCTGCAAAGCTCAGATTTTACCTGCACTAACCTGCACACGCAGGCGGTATTTCGAGCCCTGCATTGGCAAGATCATAATAATACAGGAAGAAAAACGTGGTGGTGCAGGAATTTTTACGATGTCGTAACGGTACTTAGGATACGAGGGCTGGGTATCTCTGCCTGACGGAATAGGGCCATGCTGGGGGAGGGCCGACTGTCACCCAGTTCGCACTCCTTTCAAACCAACTCTTGTCTTCTTTTCAAAAAACACAGAGGACTAGTCGAGTCGCCACTTGCCTAAAGCATCCCAACAGTCTCGAAATCAAGTCCTTTGCGGCTTTCTCGACGGCAAAACTTTGCCATGATTTCATCTAAAATCTAGGAAAAGCGTCATCCTTTGATGACGCACGAGCAGCGAGCTGTGAAGAATGCAGGAGGCAAGTGTTTGGACCGCTATTTTGTTTTCTCCGTGGAAAGCTGAGTTGTTGTTAGTAGAGGGAAGAGAAGAAAAAACCTACGCTTGTTCTACGATCTACGAATAAATGGAAGGGAAGTGTTAGTAGTAGTAGTAGTAGTAGTAGATGTAGTAGATGGAACTGGACAGACCAGTCGCGGTGGACAGGGAGGGAGAACTATACCGTTATCGTCCCCAGCTTAGAGCAAGCAGAGACACACAGCCCCACAAACACACAAAAACTCAGGACCCAAACTCTTTACTAGCGGCACAGCGAGAACTCAAAAACAGAGAGTGCGGAGCTTTGATTGAAAGAGAAAGAGAGAACGAGAGAGACTGAGAGAGAAGGAGCACTATATCTGCACAGAAGAACAGAAGGAATGATTCGTAAGGTAAACAGCACACCAACCTCCTCCTGTGAACGGTGTTGATATGCAAGGCAAGAACAAACGAGAACAAACCGGAAATCATAGAAAAAGACAATCAAAAATTGGTTAATCGGAAGAACCGTGCCGACCGGTTCCCTTTCACTCCACCTCCCTTGAATGGTCCGGAAAAAGACTAATGTTTCATCGAGGTTTGTCGAGGGGGGACTTGCTGAGAAATACTCTGCTCGCTTCACCGCGTGAAGCTCGAGCAGTTTGTAACACCTAGGGCCACTGAAAAATCAGTCTTTTTCCAAGATCTTCAAGAAAAGGAAATGAAAGGAAAACGCGCCACCATTATATTTTAAAAAGTTAGTAAGTTTTTTAATAAGAAATTTGCCAGAGAGAGCGTGTAAGCGAGATAGAAGAACTTTCATCAAGCACCATGCATTAGTATCACCAGTTAGCACCATGTACAGAGGTTATCACACGTTCAAAGTCCGTCATGTGCATTGCATTATAATATCATTCTTGCAAAGGCCACTTTAGCATATCTATGAGCATTCTGCAAGCATATTTCCTCCGTAAATCCATGCCACGATTCGAATACAAAGGATCTTCGAGCTTCTAGACCACAAGCACAACCGAACTCACATCACAGCGCAGAAATATTTCCATCAACGAACGCTTCCGACATGCAGGTGTCTGCCGAAACACTGGCTTGCTCTTGGATATAAAAATGAATTCCTCCCATACAAGCAGTGGATACCATATATCTTCTATCAGGCCACACCAATTTAAAATCTCGGTTCTTGGATTCGTTTGCTTCATTCTTTTCTGACTTGCAAAATTCTTTCCTGGCTCGCAAAAACTTTGGATTATCACAGGCCTTTTTAGTCCAGGCCTGTTCTATTTTTACTTCATTGATTTTCTTCAAAAATCAGAGAACCAACAAATCAAATTGGTGAGGCCTTACCCTCTTGATAACAAGAGTTGCTTTTTCTGATACCATTCCAAGTGTTAATAAGAGTTTCCGAATGAACACCCTTTCGTGTAATTTTTCTTCAACAACTTACCTCGCACGTAGAGGTTAGCCTGAGAGGAATACCGGGATCCCTCGCTGTTAGTCGCCACACACTCATACTTTCCCTGATCCTCTTCTTTGCTATCTTCGATCTGTAGGGCCCCTGTTTAAATAAACAAAGAGAAACAGGCTTTAAAAACTGCAATGAACCAATGTTCAAATGCATGGTTATGCCTGTCGGGTGAGCGAGTGATGCAGGCACTTATAAAAGAGTGCGTTAGTCATCTGTGCTTTCCTTGGTCACCTGCTGGAGAGAAGGAGTGCTGTACAGGCACCGAGGGTGGTTACAGAGGACAGCCTGCCACCTTGGTTAGTGCTAGGCTGTTAGCCCTAGACTAAGAGCAACAGCAAAGACCAGAGAAGAGAAAGAAGGATTGGCAGCGGATACTTTTGCAGCAAATCAAACAAAATTTTCTTACCACTAACAGAAAATGTTTCTGTTGGTTCTTGTTCTGAAAAAACAACAGATAAAAGAACACTCTAAATAAAGCATAAGATGATGAAAATCAAGAAACCAGGGAGAGAATGAGGTTGTTCTTTAAGATCCGCAATGATCTTAAAGACAATCTACAAGCAGATGTTGGTGGCCTTTCAGCTTGATGTGAAAAAAAAGCAAGAATCATAGCAATCCAGGTGGCACAACTGAATATTGTGCCTTTTAGGACAAAACAACTGCTTAAATTAAATATCAACATATTTCAGCACAGAAATACATGCAACAACAGTGCTTCACACCAGTGACATTTTGTCGGCATAATAATTACACCAGTGTGCAAGTACTGTACTAAAAGTAAAGGTAAAACATATCTCCTTGTCCCATTGTTTGAACCATTCACCTTGTCACAAATTCTGTAATAATCATGTTGAGCTAACTTTGCATTCATGTAAATTAAAACAACTTAAACATCTAGCAACACTATGCTGGGATAATGAAATGAACATAATGGTAAGAAATGAAACATCATGAGACAGGTAACAGATATAAACAAAAACATTTAATTTATTGTACTGAGGACAAACATTTAGTGGTCCAGCTGTCTTTAGGAGCAACTGGAAGAAAAAAATCAAATCAACAACAGAAGTAAACATTGAACAGAACATCAAGTGAAGATACATTGTATATAGCTAGGACACAGAGTAATACAAGTGCATTAACAATGAAGTTCTGCTGTGGTGAAAAAGTTGTACAAGTGATACCACAGTAACAGGGCTTGCAATATTGCAGTCCTTAGAAGTTTCATATACATGCACTAGCAGAGTTGAATAATAAAAAAACTGTGGTGGTAGGGAAAAATACAGAATTGAGGTCTGTAACTTGTATAAGACTGAAAAAAAAAAGTTCGAGGGATTGTAGCAAGAAAAAAGTCAACTGCTAATTCTGACAGGTGCAGTTGCAAGTTAACTTCATTCTGACCCCTTCCCCAGCTGTTTTCAAGGGAAATTGTGATTGTTATAGGGATATAGGGAATGTGGGTTGTACTGATGCTACCCTGGACAGAGTGCTTCATAGTCTTACCTCGAATGTGCAGGTCTTCTGCCATTGTATGGTTAGGGTGCAAACGACAGAGAAGAGTGCAAGTGAGTATTGTTCAGGGGTGCTTGTGGGGACCGGGGAAGTATTGCCTTTTTTTTTTACATTAAAAAATGCCTCAAGAAATGACGAGGAAAAAAGTGGACATACAGAACAAAGAAACTTTACTTCACACATATACACAGGGCTCCCTTGGAAAGAACTTTGACAATCAACATCTAATTTTCACTTCAGCATACAAGAAGTTACAGAAAACAATTTTGAGGGTCGATATTGCTATCCAGTATATATTTTCTTTATTCTTGAAGAAAAAACAGCATGTCAAAAATTACTCAAACTTCTTCAAAGGAAGCCTTGTGCGTCAATTTACGAGATACGTTTACAAAACAATACAGATATATACACACGCACAAACACGAAACAAAGTTTACACAAATACACAACACAAGACTCTGTGGAAACAACGACGACAAGAGACGTTACCATATAACTTCTCTCCTATCTCTGTAAGGACACAACGCCATTGTGGTGGGCGGGGAGAAAAAACATGACAGTTTCGGATTAGAACATTTCAAACCAATGCCATATGAATTCACCACCACGAGATCACATGATCATCACATGGGGATCACATGATCACACTCCCGAGATCACATGATTGACGGATGATTGACAGTGTTGTCATGACGACGTAGGGTGGGGGATGCGAATGAGAGAACGAATGAATGAATGAACGAATGAGAGCACTCTCGGTGGCTTCGGTTCAAGCTAATTATCATACGGAGAGATCGAATTACGTACGGAACAACCTCTACTTGTAAAACGCCCTGCTCATGCAGCGTTGAGAGGTCGCAGGTCAAAGTTCATACCATGCAAGTTGTACCCAGCATGAGCCAATGAAGAGGTTAGTGGAGTTAGTGGTGAGGTACTTCCGCCAACAACCAGAGGGTGGAAAAGGACTAACTTTTTTTTGTTCATTTTCTTTTTGGGGTGAATTCGGTACTTTTGACTTTGCTTACAGAAGAATTCTTATGCTCCATTTCTTTATTTTCTGTAGTTTTCAATAATTTTCACATTTTCGATATAGTAGATGAGTTGTTTGACATAATTTTCTTTCGCTTATTTTCGCTTATTTGACAGAAAGATAGTTTTTACTTCAAAATTTAAAAGACAACAATTCTTTCCTTTTCTATCTTCTATTGTGGGATTTTTTTCTACAACAAATGAATAAATAACTGTCAATTTCAGAATCTGAGATACAGAATGTTGTAAACATAGACTGTTGAAATGAACAACAAAATTGTGCTCTTTAGAACGAATTTCAGCGATCCCTTTGCCACCCTCGCCACATAATACCAAGCGCCGATCTATAATAAATCGGTCCAGAAAAAAGAGACGACCACATCGCAAGACACGCATGCCGGTAGAAGCCAACCAACCAACCAACCAACACACACTTGGACGATGATCGATGGATGGCACGAATGAGTGGTTGGAAGGAGGAGAGTGAGTGAGTGAATTCATATGGGTATGTCGTACTGATGACAGAGGACACACTGGCGCTATCACACCGCAGGCATGTATAAACAGGAAGTAATTTAACTCTACGATGGTGGAGGTTTTGTAACAGCCAGATGCTCCAAAATACGGAACAGGAAGAAGAAAAAAGTGACTGGTTAGTGTTGGAGTTAGTCGAAGTTCTTGCAGCCACGAGGTGGACTTATGGAGAAGCTATATTTATTGACTTATCATAAGAATTTACCGTCCGGGAGTTGATTGCCGTCTGAGGTCCACCGTGAATATGGATTTTGTACCAAGTACCCTTTTCGATCGACGTACGTAGTAGGTATGACGAAAGTTTCCATTAGCGAGATGTCAAAAACAGAACACGTGAAACATGTGTTATCAGTCTGTGATCAGAACCATAATTCTCCTAACAGTTAACTATTGACTGGTGGAGGAGGCAGTGATGAGAACTTGTGGATTGATCATCTGTGTGCAAGTCTGAGTGGACCAGCACTACTTTGCGTCAAGCAATTTGACTTGCAATTTTTCTAGTCCTAAAAAAATACAGTAACTGATGACTGCTTCATATTCTTCAGAAAGTCAGAATAAAATGAAAATCTACATTTTTGTAAGCAGTATTAAGTCAAAAAGGTTTGAACATTGAGCATGTCAATTTGTATGTTAGTCTGTCAGGAGAAGTATGGGAATTGTGTGAACAACTAAACTCGTTAAAAGGTAACTACACAAATTAGTGGCATGCAGTCGGACACAAGGTGGCAATACGCGACGATGAAACGCTCACGAACACCACACGACTCAGAGCAGCAGAGACACGTACGTGTACATTTGGCGACAAATACGACAGATACACACTTTTGTGTTTACAACTACGTAAAGCTGCGTCGCTCTCCTAAATACAACGGGGTGGAAAATAGTTAGAGCGTTAAAGTTAAAGTTTCCTGATAGCACCTGAAAAACAATGGACGAATGATCATGGCTGCTCTAGGACAGACAGCAGCTTATATTTAACATCAAGCAGAGAAGCACAGGTTAAAAAAAACTACTACTGTACTACTAGTTGTATGGACAAATAACAAAAATTTCTTGACGCATTTTATTCAATGCCAACTAAAATACAGTAATAATGCATTACCCAACCAAGATGTTTATGGAAAACTTACAGTTACAAATTCAAGTTACTTTCCAGTTCAATTTCTTCTTTACCAGTTTTGGCCATAAAAAAGATACTTAAAATTAACAAAGGAGCTATAACAGAATAAGAACGGTCCATTACGAAAACTATTTCTCTAGAACGAGTTACAAGATTTATTTTTCTGGTTTTGTTGCTTACCTGAGTCGATAAGGCGAATGCGTGGGTCGCTCATGTCCACCGGGGTCATGTCCTTGAACCAGGTGATTTCAGGGTCGGGGTTCCCGCTGGCGCTGCACAGCAGTGTGGCCATGCGACCTTTCTCCACGACCTTCAGCTGGGGGTCGCGCGTGATGACCGGGAAACCAGGGGGCAGTCTGTCCTCTGTACAACACAAGAAGAAACAGAAAATGTTGGTTAGAATAATTTTTGGTCATAATTGTTATCAACATCAACAACGAATATCTTTCAATGCTATTTGACTTTTATTCTCCTCTCATTTTGCCAAGAAAGAAGACAGAAAACATCTGTTAGGAGGGAAAGAATCTTTTCATTTTGTTTCATTTCTTTGACTATAAAATACATACAGCCAGTGCTGATGACCAACTAGTCAATAGCTAGCAAATACAAGGGGCTATCCCTATTGACAACTACAAAAGTAGAGAAAAGGATTATTCACGAACATCTATTAATAAACCAGGTTGTTCTCTCATTCACCTATCTTATCAGATATTGAAGCACCAAGAAACAATATGTTTCATTAGCACAGCCCTGTCTCTGACACATCAACCCTTATTTCCTTAAAAGGAACCCAGAACCACTCAGCGGCTGCTATCAGCTTCTGTCGCCTGAAGCTCCAATTTTGGGCCTTATCAAAGGGAAGTACACCTGTTTCAACATCCACATTATCTCATCAACATCTCGCAAGGAAAAACTTTTCCTCGACTTCCTTGCGTCATACCTGGAGAATAATTACAGTCATTTCAACTCCTTTGCAATTCATGAGTAACTCGAATTTTCCAGCTGAAGTTTATCTCATTTTGCGATCAGTTTTTCAGTAACCAGAGGCTGGTACAAGTTTTAGCCGTTGTTAACTTTGCGTTTCAGGTTTCTGTGTACGAACGCGATGGTCTGGGCATCTTTAGACACTCCATAACTCGGAGAATAATTACTGTCATTTTAACTCCTTTGCAATTCATGAGTAACTCGTGAGTTTTCTGGTAGAATTTTATCTGATTTTGCGATCTGTTCTTCGGCAACCAGAGGCTGGTACAAGTTTTAGCCGTTGTTAACTTTGCGTTTCAGGTTTCTGTGTACGAACGCGATGGTCTGGGTAGCTTTAGACACTCCATAATCCGGGTAATTATGAGGTTTATGTCTGGTCAGCATCACTTGCCATAAACCGATAACTTCGGCGAGTACAAACAATTATCAACATGAAAGCCCTGCCTTCTTCCACTATTTACAACGCACAACCTGTGGCTGGTTTCTGTCATTGAAAAGTGAGAGAGAGAGAGAGAGAGAGAGAGAGAGAGAGAGAGAGAGAGAGAGAGAGAGAGAGGAAGAGAGAGTAAGAGAGAGGGCCTGCAAGGGGAGGTAGTGATTACGAATTACGCAAAATTTTCGCCGCCTATTACGAATTACGTTAAAGTCTCAGAGCTGATTACGACTTTACGATTTGTGGCTAATGTCCAATTACGAATTACGTTGATTTTTGCGGAGGCTGCCTACAAATTACGAAGTCTACAACGGCCTGATTACGCCTTACGAAAAAGGGCTTGCAGGCCCTCTAAGAGAGAGAGAGAGTTGCAGAAGAGTCTGGCTTTCTCTGTACCAACTTTATTTGGATGATAGGGTGGCAGTTTTTATTGCTGGACCAATGCAATGACTAGCACTGTCAATTGAGGTTAGAGTTTAGACACCAAGGTAATGAGATTAAGGTAAAGACAACTGTTACTCTGAAGCGAAGATTTTGAAAATCTACCCAATTGCTTAGAGTAGCAGGTTCTCGTGCAAAAATGACCCAGCAGTTCAACCAAAGACAGGGGTGACCACACTTCAGTAAAATCTTTACGTGTCTATGTTTTTGTTTTACATTTCTAAGTTTTGACCGAGGTGACCAAGGCTATACCATCAGCCTATTGAAGTGGAAGTCACAACAAACTCAAAGAACCCTTCAGGAGAAAAGCGGGCTTGGAACCCTCAACCCCTGATCCCGTTCTTTGTACATGCACTGTTTCTGGAGTGTGGGAAAGGTGGAATCCATCAAGAAACATGTACCGTCAACAACCCAGGCCAAGGCTCCCTAGGTGCTCAAATAACTGTTTCCAAGACCCAAATCTCTAACAGAACCCCCCAAAAGGACTGGACAACTTTTCCAGACAGAACAGGACACCAGGAGAGGAGAAACACGACCCGTTTCTTAATGTTTTAAGCTTGTTTCATCAAAACTTGCCACTCTCATGACACAGTTTCTGGATAATCCCGTCCAGATGGAATTCTTTCCTGATCCGACCCTTGACCTTCGTCTCAAGTTGACGCTTTCCCATCTTGAGGTTTAAAAGTTGTACCACGTTTAACTTTTCAGAACATTTAGTCAAGGAGGAAAGGGATAAAATATTTTGCCTATCTAATATTTTCCCCTAAACCTCTACTTCTTTACCATCTTTCAGTGACCTATTTTTCACATTTCTCATTAAGTTTTTTTCTATGAAAAAAAAGTAGGTACACCCCTGAAATATGTCTGAATGGAATGACCCAGATAAGAGTGATTTGGTCCAACAGCTGTTTCATCTGGGGTCGAGACTTATTTTATTTCCTGTAAATTTTGTCCAATTAAGACCCATACAAAGGTCCAACCACTAATGTCTTACAGGTTCAACATTTTAGAAAGTTTTCATCAACAGAACAAGAGGATAACTCATTTTCACAAAATTTTCTGAGAAAACATTACTTTTCAACATCAAATTTGTGCATTAACTCATGTTTATCACTAATAAGATACATATTCAATTGTTTTTTTGTGAGAATTTTGAAAGAAAAACATTTGAATCTGATCATTCCTCATACATTGTACATGTATGTTTTGTAGGTGAGCGACATTTTGAAGGTCTCTACTTGTGTGCCTTATTTGCAAGTCAACTAAAGCAGCTCCTGTAAAGCAAATGGTACTCTTGTCATTACACAAGTCTCCGGTGAATACGAACAGATTGCCAAGATACTCTAATCAGATTTCTCCTGATTCCTGCAGGACCCTAAAACCCACATTTGTCCAGATTATGTCCAGATTATCCTCAGGTTTTCAAACCTTTCCACGGCGGTGATTTTATTTGGCCTTTCTTGTCAATTCCTCTCCGGCCGGTCATCCGTTTGGGTTCCATTAAGGAGAAGAAACGCCACGAGGGTGAATCCTAACAAGGTTTTGCTGTTTGCCCGAAAATGAAGACAGCTTTGGGGGGTTTTCAATCAGGATCTGGGAGGATTTCGATACCGTGGCAGGTAACATACTGTGTTTGCTTGTACCTGGGAGGTATAGATGTCCCACTGAGTGATGATGGCATTAAGGAAAGGCTGTTTTTATGAGCTCCAAGTCATTTTCTCCCTCGTAGGTGTATCTGTCTTTTTGATTGATGTCTATATTAAGGAGAGACACGCTTTTACGAGCTTAGAACTGTATCTATGAATATGAGACTATTCATTATGAAACTTATGACTTAGAATGTTAGATAACACATAAAACAAAGCTTGTGGCTAAGATATAAATACTGTGCAAGTCATTGCATTATAGCTACGTGTAGACATATAAATCTGTATGCCAAAATGCAAACAATTTTTTTTCCCTTTAGGCACATATGAATGTGCTCTGCAAGTGCATTTGCTCATTATACATCATTATATATAAGTTACTACAAAGTATACTGCAGGGATCGAAATTCATTTTTTGGATTAGGTGCACTGGTGCACCTAACCAAAAAAATTAGGTGCACCAAAAAATTTTTGGGTGCACCACATATTTCCAGTAGTACATTAATAAGTAAAATATTACTAATATCAAATTAACAACATCACTGCTCCTCTTTAGCTATCTAACCAACCTTACTGCTCCTCTTCAGACTCAGAGCTTGAAACATCTCTGTTTTGGCATCTTCTAGGCCCATAGGGGGTGGTGTTAGGTCTCCTTCTGCCACCCTCCCACCACAAGGTGACTGCCGGGAGGGGGTCAAACGTGTCCAAGGACTGAGGACTTAACGAGATCGTCATGAGACTTGTCAAGCTGTTGGATTCCAGTCGGGCACGCCAGTCAGTTTTGATTCTGTTCATGAGAGAAAATGATCTCTCGCACTGCGCCGTATGAATAGGAATGACAAGGGAAAGCCTCAGCAGAGTGAAGATGTTCCTGTAATCACTGTCTGCCTCCTCTCTTCTCATGAAGCGCATCCAAAACTCACTGAAACTGGGAGCTCTTCTTGCTTGTGACAGCTGGTTCCTGCAAACCTCTTTCAACTCGCTCCACTCCCTTAAGCAGCTCTCAAGGTCAACGCCTTTCAGTTCAACTGGATGTTGAAAGTGCTGATAGATGGTCCTAATGTCATCGTCTCCAAAGTCATCATCTGGGTCATCATCATCATCCTGTGGCCAAGTTGAAAACTGGAAAACCCTTCTGGCTGCACTGAACACCCTGTGACTCAGCAAGACGTCAAACCTACGACCAAGATGATGTGATGTTGCATTGATAATCTGTTGACAGTCCTTCATCACTTCTTCCCTCTGTGAAGCAAGACCTCCAGGTCGTCCACGTTGTGGTCTGCCTGCCTGCAGTGGGATTCCCTTCCACAGCACAACCCCGTCTCTTTCTTCCATGCCTTCAGAGAAGATCCTGGACAATTTCTCTGGTCGGGACAGTTTGTTCAATGTTTTGACAACATTTTCAACTCTTCTATACACTGTTTCCAGCGTACTGCTGTTGTCCTGGAAAACTTTTGACAGGGATGACATGAGCTGTAGGTATTGTGACAGGAACAAAAGGAACAATACAAACTTGATAGACTTCACACCTTGTAGAATCCCATTCGCTTTTTCCCTGCTGTCCTTGCTGCC